CAAAACACACCAACGTCGGGACCACTTTTGGAAGTTGAGATGTCGAAAAAGTGCACGCCGTTGTGGCGTGAAGCAGATTTGGAAGTCAAAAGTGTTAAAAACTCACGGATTCGGAACAATTTTGGAAGTTGAGATGTTGAGAAAGCAAGATACAGCACGCGGTTGTGGCGCGAAGCAAATTTGGAAGTGAACATACTACAAACACCACATGTTTGGACCACTTTTGGACGTTCAACCGCACTACAATGCACTACAACAAAACATTACAACTGCAACTGCAACTACAAAACAACTACAACTTCAACGTCGAATACACTACAACTACAGCTACAACTACAACTTTCAACTTCAACTACGCTACAACTACAACTACACTACAACTAACACTACAACTACAGCTTCGACTTTAACTACACTACAACTACAGCTACAACTACCACTACACGGCACTACAACTACAGCTTCAACTACAGCTACAACTCTTACAACTACAACCACAACTTTTACTTCAAATGCACTACAACTACAAGTACAACTAACAGTACAACTACATTACATACATTACAACTACAACTACACCTACAACTACCACTACACCACAACTACCGCTACCACTACGACTTCCACTACACTACAACTACAGCTACAACTTCAACTTCAACTTCAATTTCAACTACACTACAACTTCAACTACAACTACAACTACGACTACAATACAACTACCACTACACTACACCGCAACTACAACTACGACTACAACTACACTACGCCACACCACACCACGCCATACTACATTCAGCAGTTGTGGGTGAGTTGACCACTGCAACACTCCAAAATGCACAACTCCAACCACCTTTCGGTCCATCAGTGTGTTCGCTCTGCCATCCATGCATCCCAACAACTCACCTCTCCTATAGTTGTCAACCCTTGAAACGTCCGCCACCGCCTTGTGCGGTAGTATTGTTTTATTGTGAATCATGATGATGGTGATGCTGGTAGTGATGATGATGATGCTGGTAATGATGATGATGATGGTGATGATGAAGGTGATCATGATCATGGTGATGATCATGATCATGATGATCATGATGGTGATGCTGGCGCTGCTGCCGCTGGCGCCGCCGCCGCCGCCGCTGCTGCTGCTGCTGCTGGTTGTGGTGGTGGTTGTGGTGGTGGTTGTGGTTGTGGTTGTGGTTGTGGTGGTGTTTTTCATATTGGCCTATATTGGCTGTTCTTGGTTTTAAGGGGTGTATATCGGCATGCATTTGTTTAAGTTGATTTATATCATGTTGTTTGAGAAACATACTGGTGATAGAGTGGTATCGATTGATTTTGATTTTTAAGGAATTGTCCCCCAATCGACCATGCATAGTTTGCGTGCCTTCATTTGGATGCGCCGGTGGAACAATTAGGTAAAAGTACCATACATGGATGATTCGGGCATGGATTTTATGGGCCCACCATGGATTTTATGGACCCACGTCGTTTTTGGGGATCACCAACTGCTGAGGTGAGGGGTCACTAGCCACCTTTTGTCTTCTAAGGTATTTGAGCAGCAAATTTGGAGACAATGGGTTCATTCACTGGCTTGGATTTTTTTCGCGTCCCGGAACCCTTATGGATCATATCCTGTCGCAACTGTGCCTATCATGAATTGAGCCAGCATCCAATGGATCATGAGATTTTCGTATGGTTTCTGTTGTTTTAACTCTGAAATTGTGTACAGGTTGATTTGATCATGGGATTGGCATACCTGAATACAATTCCACCAGGTTCAAATTTTCTGCAGTCATCCAGAGACTTCCAGCTCGAACCGTGAAACACCAACGCTACGGACTTGAGATCTGCAATGCAGGAAAGGAGTAAAAGAGATGCCCAGATGAGAAGATTTCGCCCACTTCTTTCGTTTCCATATTCTTGATATTGCTGGAAAAGGATTGGCAGATCATCCAAGTGCGTTTTAAAAGGAAATCAGATGAGAGCCAAAACCGCTCAACGCCAAGCATTCCAAGCCCATCCAGCCCACATGGGAGCGATGAGCAACCGATTGTGCCATGGGCTGATCCACAACACGGTGTGGAGTTAGAGGCTCTGCCCCCTTGGGCATGATGATATGATAAGCCATGGGATGAGTTTGGAATATATATATATATTATACACATTATATATGTGATTATATATATATACTACATGTATATACATACGTTGTATACATTATCTACATTATACATTATATCCCGCATATACCGTATATACAGTATTTACAGTATATACTTTATATACATTATAATTACATGCCATGTTTTCGGACAAAGCTGGCAGTGACATTTGATATACTTGACTGGCTTTCTTGTTGCGTGCAGGACCTTGGTGCCAGAGGAATCTAGTGACCGCATGGGAAAGCCGTTTGAATCTGACAGAGTCATATGCTCTATTCAATTCTATTCTCAAATTTCATTATTGAGATGGTCGACTTGAGAAGCCATCAATTGAATTGGGCATGACTTCTTCTCTGACGGTCGAGTCTCTTTGCTTCCCGCCGCAGCCTTCAGCGCATCTAACCGACGCCATGCTGTGCATGTGCTGTGTGCCTGAGCCAGGCGCTGATGCCATTGAGATTTTGCCCACGGGAGATGAAGGGCAAGGTACCAGCGCAATGAAAATCAAGGAGAATTTCCATGGCATTCCATGATCCAACCATCTCGAAAAACCGAACCTATATTCGAAGGAAGTTTAGACGTCAAACTTCCGACAATATGGACAGATGAAAAGCACAGGTGGGAACAGTCAGAGAAGAGAAAGGCAGAATAAAGAAGATCAGAGAAGAGAAAGCGCCAGACGAAAGAAGATGCAGGCGCGCGAAAAGGTAGAAAAGTCGCGCAACACTGTGTTTTTTCAATGTGTTGTGGCTTCGGAGGGTTGAAAAGCAGGCTCGCTAAAGCGGCGGGTGCGATGAAAAATTGCACGCAGCTGTGGCGCGAAGCGAGTTTCCAAGTCAGAATGTCAAAAGCACCTCAGTGTCGGAGCACGTTTGGCAGTTGAGCTGTTGAAACAGTGCACGCGATTGTGGCCCGAAGCACGTGTCAAAGTCAAAATGTGCAAAGCACACCATACCCAGAGCACTTTTGGAAGATTAGATGTTGAAAAGTGCACGGCGTTGTAGCGCGAAGCACATTGAGATGTTGAAAAAGTGCACGCCGTTGCGGCACGAAGCACATGTCGAAGTCAAAAGTTGCAAAAACTGGCGGTCTCAGAGCACTCTTTGAAGTTAAGATGTCGAAAAAGTGCACACCGGTGTGGCGCGAAGCACATGTCGACGTCGAAATGTTAAAATCACACCACACTCAGACCACTTTTGGACGGTCACGACACGACGACAACAACTACAGCTACATCTATAACTACTACAACTACCACTTCTCTACTCTACACTACACTGGACTACACCACAACTACAACTACAATTGCAACTACAGCTACAACTACAACTACAACCGCACTACATTACACTACACTACGCTACACTAATTGCACGAAATTACACTACACTAAACTACACTAACTACGCTACACTACCACTACCACGACGACGACGACGACAACAACTACTACTAAAAATAAAAATATCCGACTACTACTACTACTACTACTACCACTACCACTACCACTACCACTACCAGTAGCACTACCACTACCACTACCACTACCACTACCACCACCACCACCACTACGACTACGACTTCGACTACTACTGCTGCTGCTACTACTACTACTACTGCTGCTGCTGCTGCTACTGCTGCTACTGCTGCTACTGTCACTACTACTACTACTACTACTACTACTACTACTATTACTACTACTACTACTGCTGCTGCTACTACTACTACTACGACGACGACTACGACGACTACGACTACGACGACTACGACTACTATTACGACTACGACTACTACGACTACCACGCCTACTATGACTACTACGACTACTACGACTACTACTACAACGGCAACTGCAACTGCAACTACAACGACATTACACTACATCAAATGACACTACACTACACTACAACTACGTACAGCTACAACTACACCACTAGTAGTACACTACACTCACTAGACTTCAATACACTATAGTACACTACAGTACACAACACTACATTACACTACACTAATTACACCACACCACAACTACTGCAACTGCAGCTACAGCTACACTACCTTAACTACACTACACTACAACTCCACTACACTACAACTACTACAACTACAACTACAACTACAACTACAACTACAACTCCACTACACTACAACTACTACAACTACAACTACAACTACAACTGCACTACACCACACTAGATCCAGCAGTTGTGGGTGAGGTGACCATTGCAACCACTGCAGCCACTCCAAAAAATACAACCCGGAGAGAATCTATGATTACAGACGTACTATGACCATGATTGCGCATTTGATGTATATTTTTTCATATACCAACGAGAAACAAAAATGAATTCGAAGTCTGTGACCTAGTCACACCCCAGGAGCAACCTGGGATGGTCGTCGAAATTCCCATGAAGGAGCCCGAGCTTATCAAGGAGGCCGAAGCTTGGGACATGCGTCAGCCACGGCGATGATATGACATACAATTGATTTGATATATTATGTAATATTCATTCGACACACATACATATAGAGAAAACAAAATCCGTCCTTCAAACATACTATTTGTACGTGTGCCTTATATTTTTGGACCTATGTTTCAGGCACAAACATATATATATGTATGTATATTTATATATATATATATATACATGCAACATGAGCCGTTTTTTTCCAGCAAAATACACGTGCAATCCTTGTGGTTCCCTGCAGGAAATTCCAGTGAAAGCTGCACCACCAGAGGTGAAGGAGCTTGAAGCTGTGTGGTATGAGCTTCTTGACCGCACTGTTACCTCAGGGTCAGAAACCTCAGACTTTCCTGTCAGGTTGTTGGCAGCGTCGGCTGCAATGGAACACTGCTCTACCCAATGCCCCCGGACCCTCAGTGCTACGTTCCCTGGGCAGATTCTCCAAGAGATCGACTAGTCGACTCGTATGGCGTGCAAATGTCATGCATATGCATCGGGTTACTGCCTGCAATTATATCCATACGTTGATCTCTGTTACTCCCACTTGTCCTGACTAATTTTTGTCAGTGGTTCTGTGTGTTGATACCAGTTCAGTGGAGAGGATGAGAGAGATGCACGCCCACATCGCTCAAGAATCACAGGAGTCGCCACAGTCAGACTTTCAGTCCCCAGGAGAAACATCTGGAAACCTCTGGAGACCATGGATGAATTCAGCTAACGTTTAGATTTCAGAAACTGATCTGTGAGGGTTTTCGAAGCCCATTGGTGTCGTTGACTCTTCCAGTGTCTTACAGTCTTACAACGTAGCGCCGTAACGCCGTAATGTCAAGCAGGGAGCTCACGATGAGGTTCAATACAAAGGCCACAAAGAAAGATGGCAAAGTTGGATGCAAAATTGAACCTTCGGCCATGGCTACGGTGAACCGGGTGAACCGGGTGAGCTGAGCGACGGTGGTGTCTTTTAAAGAAAATGCAGCTGTTCAAAGCATGGAAAATGGATGAAAATGGAGACTAGGTTTGTTGATGTTTGTTGGACTCAGAGGTTCGAGGTTCTGTTTGAGCGCTCATTTGAAAACTTGTAGCCGACTCACTGGGGAGACCGCTCCAAACGGCTTGGACTCCTGCCTTGGGCTGAGTTGTAGTTTCTGGAGAGGCTCGATGATAATATCCAGTAGCTGTATATTTACAAAAACATTGAGCATCTGGAACTCTGACATTCCTGGGGATCCACACTATCCGCCTTCACCCAGGATACCTTGACAAGGGACTACTGCATTCTTCGACAACTGGAACCGGGCTGCGTCTTGAGAGATGTGGAGGTCATGGACCGGGTGCTGAGGGTCAATGGTGTCAAAGGTACAGCCCCCGCACTGGCACGGAGGATGCATCCTGGTGGCGTGCGCGTGGTAGGTCGGATGTCACCAGAAGCGTTGGAGTTTTCTGACCCAAGTAGCCCCCCTGCAAAAACTTGGAGGAAACACAACCATTTTTGTTTGTTTTTTTGGATTGGTTTATGATTGCTCTACAAAATCACCACTTTTGTGCCATGGGGATCCATTTCATTGTTGGGTCATGTTCTCGCAAATGTTTTCACATACATGTCCTACTACACTTGCGGCAGAATGGTCGTGCTTGCGGCGTTCCCATACCATACTCACAGAGTCACCACCCGTGGCCCCCGGATAGCCCATGTACTCATCTCGTGTTGAAACCAACCTTTTGGGGGCTATAGGTCGTTCCAGTCATAGGGCTAGACCCAATTTCATAAATCTCAACTTTGGGATGGGGACTATGGCATTGGGTGAATCCCACATTATTACTTGTCGGTCCGACTCTTTAGACTTCAGTGATGAGTTTTTGTTGGTTTCCTGTACAAGATTGCCTTAATTCCATCCTTCAAAAACAACAGTTCTGAGTAGTCCAAAATGTATGGCAATCGTCATCCCACTTGAAGCTTCTTCTCAGATTTCTCGAAAAATATTCCCCATGTACTTCATTAAATCCCAATATTCTTTTGGTTACAGTTATCTAAAGTTTTTATATCCCATGGTATCCAAATTAATTTCCAAGCACCAGCATAGGATTGGAGGATCAGTCTCGGCTAAGGGCTGAAAGTGCAGAAACCTTTGAGATCTCCGTCCAACGGCCGAAAAAGATAGAAACTGGGCAGATGGGCTCTGCGATGAACTTACTGGTGCTAACATAGGGAATGAGAGAATGATCCATAAATATCCAATCCATCAGATATCGCAATCATCCCATTCCTTCAGTCCCTACTAAGTACCAGCCAGTTAAACCCTGACAAGCTGGTGGAAATAAATCGTAGAACTGTTGGATTTATGGTAGATATATCTATAGCTCATGGCATTTAGAGACCAACTTATAAGTGGTTGGTTAATGATCTAGGGTACCTCCCCAAAGAGATTTCATTTGCTACCAGAATATAAAACCAACCCATTAAAAATAGCCCAGGAGTAAGTAAGAATCTGGGGTAGACGTTACAGCTCGGGTTGCCTCGAGATTTGACACCTTCACATCCCATGATTGAAAAACCTCCCTAGAAGACAGACTTATTTTAAGGCACGGCATCCCCCCATTTGATACTCATATATCTTGTTCTACTCGACATAGGGTTGGTACAGTTCAGGGGGAGTTTTGCCCTTTTCAATACGTAGTGCCCAAGAGCCAATACATTTCACCAAAGTTTCTGGGGATGTGATAAGACGATACCCGGGCTTAATAATTGGATTCTAACCACGTATTCATGATAATTCGTATTATACCATAGTTAACATTTTTTGACAATAATGTTGGAGTCAAAATTGTTATCAACCTATCAAATCATGGCAAAAATCCAGACTGTGTGTTGATACCCCCAATCCGTTCGAATTGCCAGGAAATCACACTGGACAAGAAGACCCGGGACGGAATGAAAGTGTCCGAGCAAGACAGCTGTGGTCCTCCGGCACAGCATAGGGAAAAACTTTTTGTGGGATTTGAAAAAACATCGCAAAACCAATTGGTTTCCTGGTTTCCTGATGGTGTCCTATCCCTTTCCACCATCGCAGATCATACTGTGCTGATCTGTGCTGTCTGTCTATCGCTCCATCTCAGCAGCGTCCGAGGTTTAGTGATCACCGACATCAGAGGCCCCTTCGAAAGCATCGCCAGGGATGCGAAGGTGAAACTCTTCGATCGTATCGTGGCCATTGAAGCTTGGCGCCGGCTCGTGGTTTCATGCTGGGCTGTAGGGTTTTGATGTCAACAACAAATAAACACATATATATATATATGTATAAATAAAGGACTTGCATCACTGTCTCATGAATTATTTTTTTATATGTTTATACACACTGACTGTCCAACTTCTGCGGGATGTCCCAACTGACTGGAAACCAGGCAGCTCTTGTACAACGATGAGATGATCCCTCAGATGGAATAGTGGAATCTCCGGGAAAAATGGGGGCAGGTTGCCATGCATGTGTCAAATATTTATGTATGTATGTATGTATGTATGTATGTAGATATAAAGAATTGTCCCTTTTCAACCTCCATTGATAGGTGATTTCCCATTAGTACCTCACAATGTGTTTTCCAGGATGGAAGCCTTTCAACTGCCGATGAGCTCCGGCTCTTGCTGAGCAAACGTGACAAAGTCATTCTGACCATTTGCTCCTACAACTGAGCAGTGTTCAAAGGTTGATGATTATGGGGGATTACATTCAGCAATATATTGCTGAAAAAATTAAAGGACCGGATAACCCCACATGTTACCAACTTCTCTAGATTTAGACTGGGCATAGAAAAGGAAGAAGGGAAGAGGAAGTATAAGAGTGATGGAGCGGTGATGGTGGGTGAGTTTGTGTGTGTGTATGTATGTTCAAGTACAGTCAGTGAGTGAGTAGGTGAGTGAGTGAGTGAGTGAGTGAGTGAGTGAGTGAGTGAGTGAGTGAGTTGTGTGTTCTGTTTTTGAGTTTGAGTGAGTGAGTGAGTGAGTGAGTGAGTGAGTTGTGTGTTCTGTTTTTGTTTTGTGTGTTGTGTGTTGTGGGTTATGCATTGTGTGTTGTGCGTTGTGTTTTGTGGGTTGTGTGTTGTTGTGTGTTGTGTGTTATGTGTTGTGGGAAAGGCGCGATGTGTCGTTGGGAAGAAGGTTGTCGTTGATTTCCACGGCCTCCCATTAACGTCCCCACCACCGGCCAACGTGGTGTCGGCTCGACCGAAGCCGAACCGTTTGGTAAGGACGAAGGCATCGACCTCAGTGCTGAAGCAGGTGGGAACATGTTTGCATATGTACTGCAAGCGGCAAAGCCAGCTGCGAGAGCATCTCTGGTCAGTACCTGCAGACCGATAATGAAAGAGGACTGAAGATGAACCTGTTCTTTTCCTTCCATCGCAAATGCCCGGAGCGCAACCTACCGGAAAGAAAGTTCTGTCATCATCACCGAATCAGAAAGCATCTTCAATAGTGATTGACATGACGTACAGACCTCACGGTGACCCCGGCTTCCAAGCCCGTTGAAAGCAAAATTCGCAAAAAAAAATGTTGGAAGCTGTAAGTTGAAAGTAATCATCAAAACTCCCTCAACTGGAGCTGCAGACCAGAGGCAAGAGCCTGCCTTGGAGTAGTTGCTCGCAGAGGTGCTGAGTCAGGCGACGAACCGACCTGCCCCCCGCCAAGGTGGGGGAACTATCCTATCCCCTGGAGTATTATAGGAGCGGGCTATATTTACATATATATTTTTTAACAGTGTAAGGAAATCGCTAAGGCTTTCAAATCGAAATATTCCATAGATGTAAGACAACGATTCGACGATATGCACCACATCACAATACGTGACCAAGTGTGTAATATGTCATGGCGAGCCTAACTAAAACCTTTGTCAGTCCCGAGATCGTCCTGCAACAGCTTGAAGCGATCACTGCTTGCAGCAGCTGAACCAAAGCGCGCACGGGGACAACCTGGTCGTCCCCCGTGCTTTGGACGAGGTGGATGCTCTCGCAGACAGATAGCCAGTCACACGTCTCGTGCATGTAGATGTTGAGTTTGTCTGCTGACAGGCGGGAACCATATGACACCACCGCCAGCCACTGTAACGCGTCCATCTCTTCAGAACAGCAAGGCCAGCCAGTGGATCTCCTTGTCCAAGGCTGAAAGCTACTATACTCCTTGCTCCACCTTTTCTTCACACATCTGTGATGACCTTGGTGATCGCCGTGATGTTCTTCTCCAGGAAATAGCTAGTTACTTGGTTCTTCAAAAGAACATCGTCAACTATCATTGCGAGGCTCAACCAATCCCGAAAAAGTCAGTTGATCATCTCCAGATGAGTCACTTTGAAGAACCAATATAAGAATCTTTTTGTTTTTCTTTACTTAGAAACGTCCGTCCGTCCAGAGAGAGGCCTATCTGCCCACAACAAGAGATCGGGGGGAACCGGGGTTACTGGCACTGCAGGCCAAAGGTTATCATAGATTCAATTGGGAGGAAGTGACAATAGATGTACCGTGGCTGATGGCAAGGCCATGGTACACCAACACTTCCTTTTAAAATCATAAGACCTGAGGAGGAGCCTGGACACGTATACCTTATAGCATGCGTGTATGCGTCAAAGGGCAGGGTGGCGAAGTCCCAATTGCCATGTGAACCGTAACAATACAGGAAACGAAGCGACGCGAAACCAACGTGTATCAATATGTAATGACGGGCGTGTGCTTTGGGGCCCCCCAACCAAGGTGGTTTGCCATCTCCCCAAAAAGTATAAACGGGCGGACCTGGCAGGAGGCGGAGGTCCTACGATATCAAATAATGGGACAAAGTCAGTATCACGATCTCCTAGAATGGGGTTGCCCTGATGCTCAGGGCATTCATCCGAGCCCTTGGCAGTGCACATTGTCCCACGCCTGCCACGCAAAAGAGGCGGAGACCCAAGGGACGCCAGGACGTACATCCGAGCCCTTGGCAGTGCACATTGTGCCACGCCTGCCACGCCAAAGAGGCGGAGACCCAAGGGACGCCAGGGCGTACATCCGAGCCCTTGGCAGTGCACATTGTGCCACGCCTGCCACGCAAAAGAGGCGGAGACCCAAGGGACGCCAGGGCGTACATCCGAGCCCTTGGCAGTGCACATTGTGCCGCGCCTGCCACGCCAAAGAGGCGGAGACCCAAGGGACGCCAGGGCGTACATCCGAGCCCTTGACAGTGCACATTGTCCCACTCCTGCCACGCAAAAGCGGCGGAGACCCAAGGGACGCCAGGGCGTACATCCGAGCCCTTGACAGTGCACATTGTCCCACGCCTGCCACGCAAAAGCGGCGGAGACACAAGGGACGCCAGGGCGTACATCCAACCCCTTGGCAGTGCACATTGTCCCACGCGTGCCACGCAAAAGAGGCGGAGACCCAAGGGACGCCAGGGCGTACATCCGAGCCCTTGGCAGTGCACATTGTCCCACGCCTGCCACGCCAAAGAGGCGGAGACCCAAGGGACGCCAGGGCGTGCATCCGAGCCCTTGACAGTGCACATTGTCCCCCGCCTGCCACGCAAAAGAGGCGGAGACCCAAGGGACGCCAGGGCGTACATCCGAGCCCTTGGCAGTGCACATTGTGCCGCGCCTGCCACGCCAAAGAGGCGGAGACCCAAGGGACGCCAGGGCGTACATCCGAGCCCTTGACAGTGCACATTGTCCCACGCCTGCCACGCAAAAGCGGCGGAGACCCAAGGGACGGCAGGGCGTACATCCGAGCCCTTGACAGCGCACATTGCCCCACGCCTGCCACGCAAAAGCGGCGGAGACACAAGGGACGCCAGGGCGTACATCCAACCCCTTGGCAGTGCACATTGTCCCACGCCTGCCACGCCAAAGAGGCGGAGACCCAAGGGACGCCAGGGCGTACATCCGAGCCCTTGACAGTGCACATTGTCCCACGCCTGCCACGCCAAAGAGGCGGAGACCCAAGGGACGCCAGGGCGTACATCCGAGCCCTTGACAGTGCACATTGTCCCACGCCTGCCACGCAAAAGAGGCGGAGACCGCAGGGACGCCAGGGCGTACATCCAACCCCTTGGCAGTGCACATTGTCCCACGCCTGCCACGCAAAATGCACATTGAGTGAGTGAGGTGAGGTGAGGTGAGGTGAGGTGAGTTGAGTTGAGTTGAGTGAGTGAGACAGCGCACATTGTCCCACGCCTGCCACGCAAAAGAGGCGGAGACCCAAGGGACGCCAGGGCGTACATCCAACCCCTTGGCAGTGCACATTGTCCCACGCCTGCCACGCAAAATGCACATTGAGTGAGTGAGTTGAGGTGAGGTGAGGTGAGGTGAGGTGAGGTGAGGTGAGTGAGTGAGTGAGTGAGTGTGAGACGGGAGGCGGGAGGCGGGAGGCGGCGGAGGAGGAAGGCGGATACAGAACTAAAAACAAAAACCCCACACGTCAGCTCACATTGTCCCACGCCTGCCACGCAAAAGCGGCGGAGACACAAGGGACGCCAGGGCGTACATCCAACCCCTTGGCAGTGCACATTGTCCCACGCCTGCCACGCAAAATGCACATTGAGTGAGTTGAGTTGAGTTGAATTGAGTTGAGTTGAGTGAGTGAGTGAGTGTGTGTGAGACGGGAGGCGGGAGGCGGGAGGCGGCGGAGGAGGAAGGCGGATACAGAACTAAAAACAAAAATCCCACACGTCAATGTGGGGAAAAATAATCCATTATGTGAACCTCTATTAACCAAGTAGTATACAGGGACGACATGCTCGGTTTTGAACACTGCTCAAGTGAGCATGCTAGGGCATGCTGAGGGCTTGCGCCTCCTCTCTTGGTAGCTTCGTGCCACGTGCTGGCCAATTTTAGTCGTGGGGGAGTTCATTGATCTGAAAGACATCGGTCACCTTCACCTGCGATGATTCTTCCATACAGATTGGCTATTTAAAAGTGGGGTGGGTTGAAAGATCTTGGAATCACTAGCCTGACAGCAATGGAATTATTAAATAGCACAACAATCGTCATATATACACCAATGTTTATGCGCTCAGCCACAAAATGTGCATTTTCTTTTGCAGCCATAGAGTCTGAAAATACTTACCCATGCGTTTCGGAAGTTATCCAGGGACGGCTGAATTTCTATAAACAAACTCAATAGACTCGAAATGACCGATAAGCCAACGCAGACAAATGAATGCTAAGATCCGTCACGCCATAAAATCACACAAGAGGCACCGACAGAAAATATAAGGAACGTTTTTTAATTGATTGCCTGTCTGCTTGACGGAACGCGGATTGATCGGTTAACAAATATTGTTCAACAAATTGATGCATTGTTTTTTCAACTCATTGACTGATACACTGCTGGACCAACTGAAGGCTGCTGCTGCTGATGTGTTTATTTTAAAACTGGTTGCTGAAATTTCCTGTGGTGGTTTTGATTCGTTTTGCGTTTTCCAGAAAAAAAACATATGATTTAAGGTAGTTGCGCTGTTTTCCTTTATCGATCACTGCTCCACTAACTGTGGACTGCAGGGAACTCCCCCACTCCCCACGTGGCGTTTCCGAACTTTCCACGACTTGACCTTGGCGAAGGCGGCTGAGCATGGCAAGAAAGAGGACGAGTCATCTGAGTGTTTGGGGGTGAAGGTTGAGAAATGGTGGCATCAATGAGGGACGAGACACAGCCGGGTATACCAACAAGGTCCCAACAAGGTCCCAACAAGGTCCCCTTGGCCCGTGTGGAGATCAATTCTTGAACCGCGACAGGATGGGGCCAAGAGCTGCTGGAAATGCTCCACCGATGTTGAGAGACGATGTTTCCCAGGAAGATCTGTAGTAAGTGTACCATCCATGAAAGGCGCCGTAGATGGCACGTTTGAAACATCTTTGAACATCTGGACATGGAATTTGAAGGCGTTTGGCCATTGAAATTGCAATGTCCAATTTACTCCTGTTGCTTCGTTGCGGTAGAACATTCTTCGCCAGAACAAGTAGCCGTGAAAGACCATGGCGACATGCGGAGCAGGAAAACGGTGAGTCCACAAAATGGGTGGTACATGGTGGTACCCTGGATCCAAGATTCAATGGACCATGACATTCACAGATCACAGATCACTGCTGCTGGATTTGGCAGGCATGGGATCTTCACGGCTTGCACCATATCTTCTTCCGTTCAGCCTTGGTGATAAATTGGGCATCATCTCCGAGTCATTCATCTTTCGCAGCAATTTCTACGCCGACATGGACTTGATGGTCCTCAAATGAACAGAAGATGGCCAGATGAAAGAAAAGAACTCCGTCGAAACGGAAACTTGCCAAATCATGCCATCATTGTTTCACCGATGTTTTTTTCATGTCCAACTTTTTTGGCAGAACAGGAGATTAGCAGATCAGCCAAATTTCGGCACCAGAAAGAAGATAACTGTTGACCCTGAGGTCTTCGAATTTCGTTGCCGCCATGGGCTGATCCAAAATCCAATGGTGTCGATTCAGCTGGCCGCCGGCTGCTTGGTCTTTCGCCTCACCGATGGCTTTGCGCGGAACGCCCTGCTGGCGAATCAGATCCAACTCTTTCAGCCCCTCGTTGAATGGGTCTTGAGGCCCGAAAAGGTGGCCCTAAGCCATTTTCAGCCATTGAAATGCTGTTTAATCCATGTTAATCCAATAAAAATGGGCGAAGTTGAAAAATCGACCTCATTCCATTCATCTTGGGATATGACCACAAAGCTTCAGTTTATGCTTTGAATCGTTGTTCCGTAGACTGCAGCTATTGTGACCATTCACCCAATCTCCTAACACGTGGTTAAAGCGGGTACGGCGGGTACGGATCAAGCTATGATTTTTACCCATAAAAGGTTTGTCCGCTTGACCAAGATCCACCCCACCCCGCATTAAACTCCACATTGTCATGTAATCATTGAACCATCAAAAAACATACCCTCCTGCAAACGGTGACAGAAAGATGTGGAGTTTGCAGTTCACCCATCACTCATAAATGATTTTCCTAGGGAAACGATGTTTTTCCGTTAGTGCGTTCTCCGCATCTTTTTCGTTTTCGTTTCTAGGACTCTCTGCGGCTTCGGTAGCAACAGCGCCCAGCGCGCGGCGAAGTTTTTGAGCGCCTCTTGTTCGGTGGCACCACTGCTACTGGGAGCCGTACAGCGGATCTATGGCATGCGACTCTCAATGTTGGTGCCATGGGTGGTGGCAAAAAAATGTTGCTCAAAAAAGGTGATGCTATTTGTTGATGAGTTTCATTGGAGATTGCTCTTAAACTGGTGTTGGATCATCCCACACACCGTTTCTGATGATCCAAGATGAAGACTTGTTATGAGTACCCATGGTTGCTCATAGTCAATACTCACAGTATAAGCATAATTAGGTGCCAATAAAATTTCGTTTGCCCATCATGTAACATCTAATTCAGCCCTGGTGAGTTGAGTCCTCGTATGCCTTGGTGCCCCACGGATCAAAATGATACACGGCAATGACAGTATCCATGGTCATCAATAATGATGAATGTGTATATTTTAGTGTGTGCGATGATGTATTTAGCTAGATTTTCAATAAATATACATATATATATATACATATACACATACGTCTTCATGAATATGGGCCAAGACCAATTATTCTTCCATAGAGATAAGCGTCCATGAGCCCAAGGTACTTTGATGTTACGCCATCTCTTTGAAAGAGAATGTTGAGTAATTATCCAAGATTGGTTGTGTTTTCAGGTCCACTAACCCATATGGGTCATAAATGCAATGTTCAGAAATGGACAGACAGCCAAGCATTGATTTTTTTTGTGCTTTAGTCATTCCATTTTTCCCAGGTCCTCAAATTAGTCGCAGGAAAGCCCTCGCATTTTGCCGTCGGAGTATTGTAGACTCTACCCACCCATGAGCCTATTTCAATACCATCCCATTTCAGGAGATGTTCATTCCAGCTGTCGACCCCATTGCATCACTCAACCGGGACTTGACAACAACTGTGGATAGAAGCCATCAATGATGCAGAGCCCAACAACAAACCATCGCCCACGATACATCACAATACTGATTTGATGTATATCCACTTATAAAATCGTGCTTCCAGTTTTTAATGGTGTCTGCAAATTCTATGGTATGTTTTAGATATGTGGTGATGGATAGAGATATCTAAGGTGAGTAAGATTACCGTGTGGATTAACATCGCCACGGAAAATGACACATGAAAGTAGAAAAGATTTGCCTATTATGTCCATTATCATTTTCCATGGCAAACTGTTAGATGACCAGAGGAGGGTATCCCAATTTCAATGGTCGGTATCCCATTTTTTTACGTGTCCATTCTAGCAGACTTTCTTGGTTAAATCATTTAAGTCCCGATTTCTTTTACAGTTGTAAACCCATTTTGCTGGTTAGATTCCGTTTTTTGGTTGTTAAATCAACTCTTTGCTGGTTCAATCGGTGAAATCCCAATTTTTTAAGTTTAAATCTCCATTTCTGATGGCAACCCCATATATTTGCCAGGTGTTGGTGGGTTGTTTCGTAGAAGCTTTGTGCACCGCTTTTACCGGCCTCACTGGAGCAGCTCCCAACTGGGCGCAAGCAGTGACGCCAATGCTGAAGTGACTGGCCAGTCAACAACGGGGGATGACAATATCATGGGAATAGGTTGATGGTAGACATATCAGATCTATGTTGATATATATATATATATATACATATAATACATATATATATATGGAAATATGTACGTATATTTAATATAGCTATAGAAATATCATAGTGGAAAAAACTGGGAACATATAATGGGAGAATACGGAAACAAATCTATTCTTAATCAATTAACCTATATATATATATACACGAATATTAATTCATTTCAATTTAACCAACAACGGAAATAGTAGTGATTGTAAAGCTCGCTATAGTCATACTTTTTCATATGTCATAATATCAGAATATGGTATATAATAATCAATGTTACTTCGTTAATGGAAATTTGCCACCAACAATATGGGAATATTTAATGTGTATTTGAAAACGAGGTATGTACTCTCAATAGCAATTTTGAAAATGAAAATGATGATAAGCATCAAATTTCATAGCAAACATGGCAAAATTGTCGGGGAAATGTGAGACCCCATGTTTTTTGATGGAAGTTGTGGCATGGGTGTGTCCGGCCGGCAGTTCACTGGCGATGGGGCCCCTGGTGGCTCAGCCACGAACCAAAAAGTGTTTGTTCCATGTATATCCAAACCATTGTTGACTCTTATGATTTGATAGCCGGATATATGTATGTATATATATATATATTTATTTACTGATTTATATATATATATATACCATCCATTTGTAAATCCACTCATATCCCCAAGTTCCCCATGGTTCCTCCCAAACAATGCTCCAGGTCTCATGAGCTGGCAGTCATTGCAACAATTTTGGGTTTCTACGCCCTTGGCTATGGTGCTGTCACAAGCGCCATGCCCGCTTTGACCAGGCCGGCTTTTGGGCATCCACTCCAGTCACCTACTGGTAAACCATTTAGAATTCAGAATGGTAATTCAGCATGTATAGTAGGTAAATCATGGCAAATCACCTATAAAGATTACAAAATTTGGGCCATGTTCAATACATTAAATGACCGGAAGAGCAGCTGTGTGAATCGCAGACCCTTCACGGAAAAAAATTGCCAATGTGTAGATGATCACTTTTGGGAGGTGCCATTGATGCCTGAAAAATGTGGAACATGTTGATTTACTGCACAGGCAAGTTTGCAGGATGTTGAAGATTCTAAGCTGGGTACAGCTAAATCATGGATGCCATGTCAGCTGGGTTTGGTTCCAGTACCCGAATGGTAAAACCGTGTGCTTGTTGACCATAGGGTTAGCAAGGCCCGATTTTATCCACATGTTCGTGTTCATGTCAGATTTCGGAATTGTCCTATCGAAATTCACCTTGTTTGTACAGGTGAATTTTCTAGAATGTTCAATTTTCCATGGCTATGTTGCAGTACCAGAGGGTCTCACTTGCCAGAATAGTTAACAAAAGTCTTCCTGATTTCCTTTTCAATTTACTGCCCTGCAGGAAATCCGCTCCAGATGGCTCTCTTTGTACTGGCCTCATGCAGGTGTGGGCAGCTGTCGATTTAGGCTGCTGGACATGCAATCGTTTTATTGGGCTAGGAATGCCATAGCATAAAATAGGAACAAGTATATATATATATATGTTTAATTGGAATATGATTAGGATATTCCATGGGAATTCAATGGGGTTAGCCAAGCGCATCTGGCGACCGTCGCAATGGCAGGCTTTTGTCGCTGTCCTAACAGCTGGAGCAATTTTCGGCATCAGCGCGGCTGCTCGGTTTGATATGGGGTGCCAGCGGGGTTAAAAGATGTTGTTGCCGAAAGTGCTGAAAAAAAGACATATCCTATATTAATTTTATTTTAACACAGTTTTTGGTAATATATTGTTATTAGTTATCTTACCTATAAATCCTGTACATATTTTCTGGTTCGGTAATGTTTTATACTTATACTACTTGTATATACATCAACATCCCTTTCCTATTCATTGGTATTACATCAATCACTGCTTTGTAACTGTCTTTCTATTGATTCACTTATTATATCCGTGAAGTCTCCCATCCCTAGCAATATGTTGAATGGCTACACCATCGGTTGGGCTCTAGCCTAACCTCTCTGGCGATTCGATCCGAGTGGTGGAAGTGTCTCGAAGCGATTTTTCTTTTTGTTGGCAAAAAATGGCTTGATGCGGTTGGTGCTCTGTTTTCGAGTACTCCTAGTGACTTAGTGCGTTCTCATTTGCAACTAACTCAGGTTCTGTTCTTCGTTATCCTCCGAGAATTGGTGTTGAATTGGAGCCATTTTGAATATTTAAGCCTTGGCGGAGGGCATTTCAATACAAAAATATCAAAAAGTAAGTGCAATATCGGATCACATCTGTGAATGTACCCCATCTTGGCACATTAATGTTCGAAGGTGTCCGAAAGTTCCTTCTCCATTGATTTCTGTTGTTTTTTATGTTTTTTCTCTGCGTCAGCACATGTCTTATCCAAGGGCCATCTGCGGCATGTGAGTCGAGGCTGCTTTGGCTCAATCGTTTCACCAAGACCATCTGGCACTCCTCACTGCCGTGCTGGCCCTGCTGCTGGGCATTTGCTTCCTGCCACCACTAGGAGGACTGCGGAGCGGGAGACCTGTAGCCACATCACGAAGAAGGAAAATCTCAACATATCTCAAACTAAGAAACATTGAAAACCTATGGTTTTCTACGGGTTGTCAATGAAAAAACATATCTCAACCTCAGAAGAGGTGGGCGTTCTGACGGTGTTCTGACGGTTTTTTTTCTATTGTTGTTTCTATTCCCGAGGGCTTCTGAGCGAAGGGTTCTTCTAATAGTGGGGATCTGTCAAACATTTTCACATCTTAACATCTTCTCATCCTCACATCCTCACATCTTCACATCTTCTCATCTTCGCATCCTCATATCTTCACATCTTCTCATCTTCACATCCTCACATCTTCACACCTTCTCATCTTCACATCACATCTTCACGTCTTCTCACCTTCACACCTTCTCATCTTCACATCTTCTCATCTTCTCATCTTCACATCACACCTTCACGTCTTCTCATCTTCACATCTTCTCGTCTTCACATCTTCACATCTTCTCATCTTCACATCCTCACATCTTCACATCTTCTCATCTTCACATCCTCACATCTTCACATCTTCTCATATTCTCATTTTCACATCTTCACATCTTCTCATCTTCACATCTGCTCATCTTCTCATCTTCACATCTTCTCATCTTCACATCTTCTCATCACATCCTCATCACATCCTCATCACATCCTCACATCTTCACATCTTCCCATCTTCACATCTTCACATTCTCACATTCTCACATCTTCACATATTCTCATCTTCACATCCTCACATCTTCACATCTTCTCATCTTCACATCACATCTTCACGTCTTCTCATCTTCACATCTTCTCATCTTCACATCTTCTCATCTTCTCATCTTCACATCACACCTTCACATCTTATCATCTTCACATCTTCTCATCTTCACATCTTCACATCTTCTCATCTTCTCATCTTCTCATCTTCACATCACATCTTCTCATCTTCACATCTTCTCATCTTCACATCTTCACATCCTCACATCTTCACATTCTCTCTTGCCCTCTTGCTCTCTTGCCTTCTTGCTCTCTCCTTCTTTTCTTTTTCTCTCTTGAAGGCACGGAGCGGTGCCAACCAGACGGCACGAAATGCAACATTTTCGCACGAAACGAGCTTCGATCGCCAAAAACTCTTGGTAAAATTGCGATTTGCAACGTGTACGGCGAACCCTTTCACACGAAATGAAGTTCGATCGCCAAAACTGAGGTAAAGTTGCGATTTGACGCGTCCGGGTGCAACGCTTTCGCACGAAATGAGGTTCGATCGCCAAAAACTGAGGTAAAGTTCGGATTTCTCGCATCCGGTCGCAACCCTTTCGCACGAAATGAGGTTCGATCCCCAAAAACTGAGGTAAAATTGCGATTTTGAAGCGTCCGGCGCAACGTTTTCGCTTCTGTGTGTAAAAGCGTCTGTGTGTAAAAGCTTCTGTGTGTAAAAGCTTTTGTGTGTAAAAGTCTCTGTGTGTGAAAGTGTTTGTGTGTAAAAGTGTCTGTGTGCATAAGTGTCTGTGTGTAAAAGCTTCTGTGTGTAAAAGTCTCTGTGTGTGTGTGTGAAAGTGTCTGTGTGTAAAAGTGTCTGTGTGTAAAAGCGTCTGTGTATAAAAGTCTCTGTGTGTAAAAGCGTATGTGTGTAAAAGCGTCTGTGTGTAAAAGGGTCTGCGTGTAAAAGCTTCTGTGTGTAAAAGTCTCTGTGTGTGTGTGTGAAAGTGTTTGTGTGTAAAAGCGTCTGTGTGTAAAAGCTTCTGTGTGTAAAAGCGTCTGTGTGTAAAAGCGTCTGTGTGTAAAAGTGTCTGTGTGTACAAGCTTCTGTGTGTAAAAGTCTCTGTGTGTGTGTGTGAAAGTGTTTGTGTGTAAAAGCGTCTGTGTGTAAAAGCGTCTGTATGTAAATGCGTATGTGTGTAAAAGCGTCTGTGTGTGAAAGTGTTTGTGTGTAAAAGCTTCTGTGTGTAAAAGCTTCTGGGTGCAAAAGCGTCTGTGTGTAAAAGCTTCGGTGTGTAAAAGCTTCTGTGTGTAAAAGTCTCTCTGTGTGTGTGAAAGTGTTTGTGTGTAAAAGCATCTGTGTGTAAAAGGGTCTGTGTGTGTAAAAGCTTCTGTGTGTAAAAGCGTCTGTGCGTAAAAGTGTCTGTGTGTAAAAGCTTCTGTGTGTAAAGTTTCTGTGTGTAAAAGCTTCTGTGTGTAAAAGCTTCTATGTGTAAAAGCGTCTGTGTGTAAAAGTGTCTTTGTGTAAAAGCTTCTGTGTGTAAAAGCTTCTGTGTGTAAAAGTGTCTGTGTGTAAAAGCGTCTGTGTATAAAAGTCTCTGTGTGTAAAAGCTTTGTGTGTAAAAGCTCCTGTGTGCAAAAGCGTCTCTGTGTAAAAAGGTTCTGTGTGTGAAAGACTTTACGAAGGATACGATGCAAACTATTGGCTTGTACTTGTAAAGTGTTCTCTTGATACTACTCTTCTCGTCTGCCTATAATAGATCTTTAATAGATTGTCTTGTAATATAGTGTCTCAAGACTGACAACAGAAGACCCTGCTCCTTTACGCTCTCAGGCCATCTGTCGTCTAGTTTCTATAGTTTGTTTCTTCCTTTCACGATCTTTCACGGACAGCAGCTTTCAAGCGCAGGAACGCCGGCGCCTTGGGCGAGGCGCTTGAAGTAGTGAGATCGGGGACATCTTCACCAAAGTTTGATGAAAAACTCTCCAAAGCTGTCAGCATGTCAGCCAAATCAAGATGGACATTGACCTTTCACAGGAAAATTTGACAAGATGTTTTTTGATGGTTGAGATCAAAAGGATGATCCCAGATCAGGCGTATCCTCCGCTGGGCTGTGGGTTTACGACCCGAAGAGCTGGCGATGCTCGTCAGATTTTTGACCAGTCTCCATTTGAAATCCCGAAATTTCCCATGTGTTCATGCCATGTTTTGGCTGAAACTATCACAGATACCCAGGTTTGCTACTATACTCATCCCACATGTTCATCCCAAAAAATGCCCAAAAAAAAGCCAAGAAAAACTGTAAATCAAGAGGTATCCCAAAAACATCCATTGTCTCCATCAGTTCCATTCAAACCCTATATCTTCATGCCAGCATCAAGGACCTGGGAGACACACAGCGACAGTGGACACCGCCTGCTGGCACCCCGCGACGCCAATGGAAGCGATGCGCTGGCGCCACTGGCGCCGGTGTTATGGCGTTTGGTGCTGCTACTGCCGTGCCTTTGGTGAAACTTTGAGATTCATATCTTGGGTAGGATTTCTTAGGATTTCGGATGTTATTATTAGGATATAATAACCATTGGAATATACACATGTGTATCTATGTATATATTCGAAGGAAGATTAGAAGTCAAACTTCCGACAATATTGACAAATGAAAAGCAGAGGTGGGAAGAGTCAGAGAAGAGAAGAGAAGAGAATAGAAGAGGAGAAGAAAGAAGATCAAAAAAGAGAAAGTCTCAGAAGAAAGAAGATCCAGGTGCGCGAAAAGGTAGGAAAGTCGCGAAACGCTGTGGTTTTCCCATGATTTGTGGCTCCAGAGGAGGCTCGCTAAAGCGGCAGGTGCGGAGCCCGCTGGGCAGATCAGAGAAGAAAAATTGCACCCGTTGTGGCACGAAACATTTCCAAGTCAAAATGTACAAAACACACCATGTTCGGATTACTTTTGGAAGTTGAGATGTCGAAAAATTGCACGCCGTTGTGGCGCGAAGCACATTTCCAAGTCAAAATGTACAAAACACGCGAAGCCCAGACCACTTTTGGAAGTTGAGATGCCGAAAAAGTGCACGCCGTTGTGGCGGGAAGCACATTTTCAAGTCAAAATGTACAAAACACACCATTCCCGGACCACGTTTGGAAGTTGAGATGTCGAAAAATTGCATGCCGTTGTGGCACGAAGCACATTTCGAAGTCAAACTGTACAAAACACGCGAAGTCCAGACCACTTTTGGAAGTTGAGATGTCCAAAAATTGCACGCCGTTGTGGCGCGAAGCACATTTCGAAGTCAAAATGTTAAAAACACAATATGTTCGGACCACGTTTGGAAGTTGAGATGTCGTTTCGCGTGGCAGGCGCAAGGGATTGTGCACCTTGTCAAGAGTGAGAAAAACCTAAGGGTTTTGTGGCATTTGCAATTACAACCACCACTACACCACACTACACTCCAATACACTACACTACAACTACAGCTACACCTTCACTACATTCCACTACACTACACTACACTACACTCCACCACACTACACTACACTACATTACACTACGCTACACCACATTCCACTACACGACACTACATTACACTACACTACACTACAACTACACTACATTCCACTACACTACTACACTCCACTACACTACACTCAATTTCACTACACTACATTACACTACACCACACTACATTCCACTACAACTACAACTACAACTACAACTACCAGTAGTACCCGCACGAGGCAGGGCGGAAGTTGCCTTAAGGATATATAAGAACTTTCTCATCTATAGAACTTGCATGCGCCGTGTGCCAGCCAAGCCCGTGCGTGCGTGCTTTGTGCGAAGCTGTTGCACAGATGTTGTCCAAGAACATGACCTGCCCGCAACCAGGGGGCGCAAGGCAACGCCAAGCGAAGACTTTCCGCACACTGCACTCTTCACACTTCACACTCCACACTTCACACTTGCACTTCACACTCCACGCTTCATCTCATCTCAAAGCATGTGAGCTCTTCTCACCTCATCTCAGCTCTTCTCATCTCATCCCATCTCTTCTCACATGTCATCAAAGTAAGTTCAACTGTTTTCATCTCATCCGAGGGCTGATCAACCTTTCTCATCTCCTCGAAGTTGTTCTCAACTCATCTCAGCTGTTCTGCACGCCAGAAAGCTCTTACTGTCAGAGAGATGTCTCTTGCACAAAAAAAACTTTGGGCGCAGAAAGTTTTTGCACACAGACACTTGAGACACAAATGCATTTAGACAGAAAGGCCTTTCCGACATACTTTGCACTACAAAGCTTGAACAAAGGACTTCCCAGTACTACTTTGTACTACAAAGCTTGCACAAACTACTTCCCAGTACTAATTCTACTACAAAGCTTGCACAAACTACTTCCCAGTACTAATGTCTACTACAAAAGCTTGCACAAAGTATTTCCAAGTACTACTTTGTACTACAAAGCTTGCACAAAACACATTCCAGTATTACTTTGTATTACAAAGCTTGCACAAAACACTTCCCAGTACTACTTTGCACTACAAAGCTGGCACAAAGCACTTCCCAGTACTACTTTGTACTACAAAGCTTGCACAAAAAACGTTGCAGTATTACTTTGTACTACAAAGCTTGCACAAAGCACTTCCCTGTTTTGTACTACAAAGCTTGCACAAACTACTTCCCAGTACTAATGTCTACTACAAAGCTTGCACAAACTACTGCCCAGTACTACTGTGTACTACAAAGCTTGCAAAAAATACTTCCCAGTACTACTTTGTACTACAAAGCTTGCACAAAGTATTTCCAAGTACTACTTTGTACTACAAAGCTTGCACAAACTACTTCCCAGTACTACTGTGCACTACAAAGGTTGCAAAAAGCACTTTCCAGTACTACTTTGTACTACGAAGCTTGCGCAAAGCACTACCCAGTACTCCTTTGTACTACAAACCTTCCACAAAGTACGTCCCAGCACTTCTTTGTGATACAAAGAAAGCTTTTACACACAGCAAGTTCAAGTTCTTTCGCAGAGAAGCTTTTACACGGAGCAAACTTTTTAAACAGTCTTGCACAAAGAAAGCTTTTACAGACAGCAAGTTCTTTCGCAGAGAAGCTTTTACACACAGCAAGCTTTTCAAACAGAGAAGCTTTTACACAGAAGCTTTTAAACACAGCAAGCTTTTACACACAACATATTTTACACACAGCAAGCTTTCACACACAGCAAGCGTTTACACACAGAACACTTACACACAGTGCTTTTACACATGGCAAGCAGTTTCACACACAGCAAGCTTTTTAAACAGATAAGCTTTTACACACAACAAGCTTTTACACAGAGAAGCTTTTACTTACAGCAAGCTTTCACACACAACAAGCGTTTACACACAGAACACTTACACACAGTGCTTTTACATATGGCAAGCGTTTGCACACATAGAAACTGAGACGCTTTTACACACAGCAAGCTTTTACAAAAAAAAGTTTTTACACAGAGGAACTTTCTTGTACATAATCACAACAGGAATTGCAGCTCCAAAACCGGATCTCGGCGCCAAAGCGAAAAAGACGATTTTGAAACACTTTTTGAAAGGACTTTTGAAATGAAAATTACTAGCGCCCAAATTGCGAAAATCTGCTGACAAATCCCTTTCGCAGCCTTGATGCGGCCACTCCAATACGATTTACAAGAGCAGCTGCACAAGACAATAGTATTACGCATGCAGCCGCAGCACCAAGCAACCTTGACGCAGCCATTACAATGCGTTCGCAGCATCACGTTGCAAACCTGCACTATCTACGCACATGGCAACACCAGATGACAACAATCATGCAGCCATTCCAATGAGATCTGCAACCGCAGATTCAAGAAACGCCTATAACTACGCACACAGACACAACCACTCGTTGCAGAACGACCGCAGCCGCAACCGCCGCACAAACGAGGTACCTTTCATCACCGGCTGCAGCCACTTTACACGGAAAAACACAAGGTTTCGTGCTCCGGCTTCCTCCCCAACACAACCCCCATGAAACATTCATGCAGCCATTACAATGCGTGTCGCAGCATCCCGTAGCAAGCCTGCATCTCTCTACACGCATGGCAACACCAGATGACAACAATCATGCAGCCATTCCAATGCGATCTGCAACCATAAATTCAAGAAACGCCTATAACTACGCACACAGACACAACCACTCGTTGCAGAACGACCGCAGCCGCAACCGCCGCACAAACGAGGTACCTTTCATCACCGGCTGCAGCCACTTTACACGGAAAAACACAAGGTTTCGTGCTCCGGCTTCCTCCCCAACACAACCCCCATGCAACATTCATGCAGCCATTATAATGCGTGTCGCAGCATCCCGTAGCAAGCCTGCAGCTCTCTACACGCATGGCGCATGGCAACACCAGATGACAACAATCATGCAGCCATTCCAATGCAATCTGCAACCATAGATTCAAGAAACGCATAGAACTACGCACGCAGACACAACCACTCGTTGCAGAACACAGAGGAGGAATCAATCGCGTCCGGAACGACCGCAGCCGCAACCGCCGCACACACGAGGTACCTTTCATCGCCGGCTGCAGCCACTTTACACGGAAAAACACAAGGTTTCGTGCCCCGGCTTCCTCCCCAACACAAGCCCCATGCAACATGCATGCAGGTCAGTTCTTTTGTGACGTATTGTTGTGTGTAAAGTCGCACACCACCCTTCATCAAGGTCAAGTCTCACAATGCTATTTGTCCGTAACACGGAAGTATTGCTTCCCAACTTCCTTTGACAACGATACTACATTTACACTACACTACACCACACTAATTACACTACACTCCACTACACTACACTACACTGAATGACACTGCACTACACCTACAGCTACAACTGCAACTGCAACTGCATCTGCAACTACACTACATTACATTACACTACACTAATAACATTACACTACACTACATTGCACTACATCACACTAACTACAGCTACAACTACATAAGACTACACTACACTACACTAATTACATTTTACTACACTGCACTACGCTACACTACACCCCACTCCACTACACTACACCTCACTACACTACACTCCACTACACTACAGTACACAACACTCAATTACACTACACTACACTACACCACGCGACACTACACTCACTACAACTACAACTACAACTACAACTACAACTACAATACATTACATAACACTACATCACACTGTGACTACACAACAACTACAACTACAACTACAACTACACTAATTGCATTACACTACGCTACACACTACACACTGCACACTACACGCTACACACTACACACTACACTCTACACTCTACACTCTACACTATACTAATCGCATTACACTACACTACACCACACTACACGACACCACACCACACTACACTCAATTACACTACACTACACTACCTTACCCCACATTGCATTACATTACATTACGCTACACTCATTACACTAGACTAATTACACTAGACTAATTACACTACACCACAACTACAATTCCACTACACTACAACTACAAGTACAGCTGCACTACACCACACTACATCCAGCAGTTGTGGGTGAGGTGACCGACCAGGTGACCACTGCAACCATTGCAGCCACTCCAAAAAACACAGCTCCAACCACCTTTCGGTCCATCAGCGGATTCGTTCTGCCATCCGTGATTCACAACAACCAATCTCTCCTATAGATTTCCTATTTTTGAAACTTCCGCCACCGCCTTGTGCGGTACTACTGGTATTGGGATAGAATGATTCGGATATAGTTTTTTTTTGTAATATTATTAGGATATAATTGGGATATGATGATGATTATGGTACGAACAAAATACTCAGATATGGCATCTGGGATATCATGAGACTTCCCGTAAAATTGCCAGTTTTTTTAGAGGGCGGCCCATGAGGGGCCGTTCTGTTTTTTTATGGGAATATGATGGAGGCATCCTGGAAAAAGCCTGTGGTACATGTTGGATGGGTGGTTTATACTGTGGTGTATTCTTCGGGCATGAATGAAGGAATTTGATATGCAGCTCAAGATTAATATTTTGGAGGGAATGCAAGATTAGCCATGAAAAGGGGACAATGATTTCCTAAACCTGATCCTTTGGGTACAAATGAACCGCTGGAAAGTGTCCATGAAAAATGATGATTGTCCCGATTATCCCAGATATGTCCACTTCCATTGCCAGATCTGATTGCCAGACTTTCTTTGGGCAGGATGTGCGCAGCCCAGCTGGTATATGGCTGGTACGTATGTTTAGTCCACGTAGAAAGTTGGGATAAAATCCAGCTACGGGCTATTCAGCTAGTGTTTTCAATCACTCACCAGGATGCACACTGAAGGGAGTCCAAGGGACCCAGCTGAAATCTTCTTAAAGGCAACGTACAACTTAAATCAACTAAGATTGCCAAAATATTCCAAAATATTCAGAGATAGAAAATGGAGACATACCAACCAAGAGTGGTGAGCTCACTGGCATAGAAAGTAGGGAACTACGAACATGAAGCCAATGAAACAGCAAAAGGGTTGGAAAAATAAAAGGACCGGATAACCCCACATGTCAACTTCTTCCAACAAGCAGCAAAAGAAAGGTAAAGATGGCATGGGGAAAGCAGGAAAGAGAAAAGAGATGGTGAAGGATTGGTGTGGAGCAAGTTGTGTGTGGAAGAGTATGTACGAGTAAGTTGTGTATAGACAAGTTGTGTTGTATGCATGTATGTATGCATGCATGGATGGATGGATGGATGGATGTATGGATATATATGCATGTATGTATGTATGTATTTATGTATGTTTGTATGGTAGGTTTGCAGGCACGCTTATTTTTTCCACGAGCGGAGCGCGGCATGTGCGTGGTGAAGACGGAAAGGTACCTGGCTACAGAAAGATGCGACCATTGCTTCCGAACATGCAGCTTAGGAACAGCAGCAACTGAGCGATGAAGTCGGTCCCTGGCAGAACAACAGAAAACTCCGGCTGTCATGAAGACTGTTAGTTTCAGAAGCACAGATTGATAACAGATACATGAGCACCGTCAGCCGCAACAGCACTAGCAAAGATGACGACATCGCAGCGTGCTGGACCTGCCAAACGACTGCGGCAAGTGCAGTAATGTAGCTCCCACTGAAAGCAGGCAACACAAGAATAGCAGCAACCGATTGCACAGAAACTGTTCTGATCTGTCATGAACGTGATCTTTTTTTCTGTCGATCACATGGCCGCGTTAGGCGCTAGATCTTCGCACGGCGCGTCAATCCATCCAAGCCAAAGCTAGCTCCCTTGGCTATAAACGGTATATACTGCACACGGAATCCAGATCAAGTCCAAGACAAGGGAACAGCCACATCGAACATCACGGACAACTACGGACAACCGCGGACGGTCACAAAGTCTAGAAAGTCTCCTCCAGTTGCACTTCTGCGATATAAAGCCAAGCGGCATATGGCAACGACACCTCCACTGCAGACTCCCACGCGGCACGCAGCATGCCGAGGTCGCCCACAGCAGTTTCAAACTGACTCTTAGCGTACCTGCCGACGAAGGCATGAAAGTCACGCCAGGAGGTTCCGTGTGGCACGACCACTTCCAGTTGCAACACTGCTGCATTATTCTCCATAACCTTAAGAAGGGACCAGTCGTCCATGGAGGCCACGCATAGAAAACGTCTGACCCGGGCCAAGATGATGCTATCATCGCCTTCCAAGTCATAGACTCTGCCCTCTGTCTGCTCCAAGCACTCAAGACATGACATCCATGCTTCCTTCCACTCTCGAGGAGAAATCTGACAATCGTCCTTGGACTTCCAAACGCTTCTTCCATACATTGGCGAAAGAGGCGCAAGGTGGTCAGAGAAATCGTAAAGTGAGTTTCCATTCTAATACCGGCAAAAGAGCAAGACATTTTACACAGTAAACATGACGAACAGTGAGCCGAGAGCTCCTGGAGCAGAGATCGATTTTTTCAGCTCTTATAGTGTTACAAATCTGCAAGCAAACCTGGACCTGCGGTCAAAATGAAGCGAAAGCATTTGCACCTGATGAGCCATGGAAATGGCAATGGATGTTGCAGCATTTGAACACACACAGAGAAATAGCCAAAAACGTGAGCAGTCTGTCCGAAGCTCCGTTCGTTGCATCATGTTCGCAACAAATGACACTTCCGCTGAGTTTTGCTGAGTTCGTCAAAATGAAGCGAAAGCATTTGCACCTGATGAGCCATGGAAATGGCAATGGATGTTGCGGCATTTGAACACACACAGAGAAACAGCCAAAAACGTGAGCAGTCTGCCCGACGCTCCGTTCGTTGCATCATTTGAACCCGGTGCGCCACCAGAGCCGGCCCAGTGCCGTAAGTGCCACGCCTGCCACGCAAAGTGAGCGTCGATGTCACCAAGTGAAGATACATGTCGCCAAGTGCCACGCCTTCCATGCAAAGTGATAGCCGATGTCACCAAGCGCCACGCCTGCCACGCAAAGTGACGGTCGATGTCACCAAGTGCCACGCCTGCCACGCAAAGAGCCGCGGCGTCCACGGCGTCATTTGGGAACCCGGTGCGCCACCAGAGCCGGCCCAGTGCCGTAAGTGCCACGCCTGCCACGCAAAGTGAGCGTCGATGTCACCAAGTGAAGATACATGTCGCCAAGTGCCACGCCTGCCACGCAAAGTGACAGTCGATGTCACCAAGTGCCACGCCTGCCACGCAAAGAGCCGTAAGTGCCACGCCTGCCACGCAAAGTGAAGGTCCATGTCACCAAGTGCCACGCAAGGTGAAGATACTTGGGAACCCGGTGCGCCACCAGAGCCGGCCCAGTGCCGTAAGTGCCACGCCTGCCACGCAAAGTGACGGTCGATGTCTCCAAGTGCCACGCCCGCCACGCAAAGAGCCGGCGTCCACGGCGTCATTGGGGAACCCGGTGCGCCACCAGAGCCGGCCCAGTGCCGTAAGCGCCACGCCTGCCACGCAAAGTGAGCGTCAGTTGTGTGATGACAAGTTGTGCGTGGACAAGTTCTGTGTGAGCAAGTTGTGTGAGAGCAAGTTGTTTGATGACAAGTTGTGTGAGGACAAGTTGTGCGTGAGCAAGTTGTGTGTGGACAAGTTGTGTGTGAGCAAGTTGTGTGTGCGCAAGTTGTGTGATGACAAGTTGTGTGTGAGCAAGTTGTGTGTGGACAAGTTGTGTGTGAGCAATTTGTGTGTGGACAAGTTGTGTGTGAGCAAGTTGTGTGTGAGTAAGTTTTGTGTGGACAAGTTGTGAAAGTTGTGTGTGGGCAAGTTGTGTGTGAGCAAGTTGTGTGTGAGCAAGTTGTGTGATGACAAGTTGTGTGTGAGCAAGTTGTGTGTGGACAAGTTGTGTGTGAGCAATTTGTGTGTGGACAAGTTGTGTGTGTGAGCAAGTTGTGTGTGAGTAAGTTGTGTGTGGACAAGTTGTGTGAGGACAAGAGACGACGGGAGGAGGCGGACGGACGGCGGGATACAGAACCAAAAACAAGAACCCCACACAAAGATGTGGGGAACAAAAGAATCCGCGCATTTCCGGAAATGATGATGGTTAGAAACAGATTTTGAGTTTTTTGGCTGAGGGATTGTGAATGAGTTCATGTCCTGATCCGGGTTTGAATCGATGCTGGAACTTACGGCTTCGAAATGAAGATAGTGATGTTTCGTAGCCAACGGTGGGGCAGACACCAGAATTGGGATAGAAGCAGCAACACAATTGTCAAGTGGGGCTAGACGAACCCTTAGGCCATGGGAGGCAAATCTCCAATACCATGCATGAACAGCAACAAGACCGAATCTCCGGTTTCATGTTGATAAGACATAGACCATTGATAATGGATTCCATGGATTCAATTCTCCAATCCCAACTTTCGAGGTTCTATGCAGCTGCCATCCAATGGACAACCTCTTGGTATGTCCAAACTCTGTACCTCGATAGGCGGGCTAAAATGAATCACTCTCTAGCACCGTGTCCGGCAAAACGAACATGGCGTGCTGGGACAACCACTCATGGTTACTCCATGGTTTTGATCTAATGTGGGTAAAACAATAGTAAACGACCCATTTGGGAATGGTTTATACCATCCATAAAGATGGTGACTGAGGGATGGTGCAAATGACATTGTTTTACCCACACTATTCAAAACGCTGGTGTGATCACCGTTTCGTTTCGGCGTCAGGAACGTTGCTGGCTTCGAGATCCCTGCGTGTCTACTGCAGGTCCCATGTTAGGATGGTCATCTCTCGGGGGTAGTGGTCACCGTGGTCAATGAAGGGTTCCCAATATGGCCATGTTGATGTCCATAATGTCCATGACATTCCTTAACTAATAATATTGATGTAACTTGACGCACGGCAAGGGACCACCTGGTGTCATCTTGAGTCTGCAGGCATTTGAACGCTTGATGAGCCTGGCAGCATTGACTTTACTTCGCGCCACCTCGGTATCATGGAAGGAAAGGAGAGAAGGTGGTACCAAAAATGGCGAGACCTCAACAGTCACTTTTTGTTATGTATGTTTCGCCTTTTGATTAAATTATGTTGTAGTTTTTCCCAAAGTACCAACTTTTGAAATCCATAAGAACAGCCGGAAATCGACCAACAAATTACACAAAGACCTCAAAGTCCATCGGAGGTTGCTAGAATCATCAGCAAACGCAGGCTGATGTTTAGCGGCCAAAAAAAAGACCCATGGGGATTGGCCGAAATCCCTCAACTCACACTTCGAATGGGAAAAAACAACGAGCGAACACCGCCTTCGGTGAGGTTTTGAAGTGGAAAACTTCCACCCGCGTCTTGGTAGCATCAAACTTGGGATTTCAACCACCAATCATGCTGAGTTCATGGTGATTTAACCAGCAATGATGATTTGATTGGAATAGAATGGGATATATATATATATAGTGGTGATATAACGGTTATATAACGGGTATATATTGGGTACTCGATATACTTCATGGGAAACCGTAGGGATATTGATGGGAATTTAACAGATACCCTTCGTCATCGAACATGGCTGGGAACTCTGGGACCTCCACGAAGTAAATGTTCTCTTGATTTCGCATCTTAAAAACATATTCAAATATGCGAAAATCTAAGAAGTATCCTTTCCCAAAATCTTTCGGGATCTGTTTGCAGGTTGACAAACTCGAGGCATCCGACTGAGCTCCCTGTGCCAGGCTTATCTTTGGGCTCCCTGCTGGCGGCTTGTGCCATGTTCGTCAGTGCCACTGTGGAGTACTGGCGCAAAAATGCCACACGATTGCCAGGTGACAGAACAGCACAGCTGATGGGCAACATGCAATAAGCAATACTGCTTTGCCCAAATGAGGGCTAAAGAATGGATATATCGGATATATACTAGAATATATGTATATATGTATTATATGTTTTACACGTATGTTAATGTCCCATTTGAATATTTCATGGGAACCAACAAAAGGCATACCCAGGAAGGGATGAAGGTCGCGCCTGGCCGACCTGCCTCGGTCGGCATACCACCATTGTTGACCCCTGTTGAAACAAAAAACAAGAAAATCAACCTTCAAAGCTCCATGTTTGTATTCCGCGATCCATCCCAGTTGTTTGAACTGCCATGACTTTACTACATTTAAACTGGCGTGGCTTCGTTTGGCCCCTGATATTTGGTGGTTGACTTCCTGAAACTCCCGCAGCAACTCGTGTTTTCTATCAAGATTAAAAAACTTGAAAGTCTCCGATAGAACATAATTTGATCATTTGATAGCAAAGTTCATGTTCAGCAAAAGTTCCTTTAGATATACATAGGATGCCATAGATTAAATCACAGATCATTGAATGAGCCTCCAATGTGCGTGGTGCATTTCGCATCATTTCGCCATGATTCGTAGGTGAGGAGCAGATCTCCACGCTGAGCATTTTGTGGTTGCTGCCGCAGTTCGCCCTCATCGCTGCAGCCGAAGCCTTCATCTACCCGGTGGGGAGTCGCTGCGTTCCGGGAGTAGATATTTGAAAACATCAAATCATAGAGAAAAGGAAGTTTTAAACATGAGAATCATGACATTTGGGGGTTGTGTCCCATAATTTGTATAGGAACCCAGGTGGATTTTGTTAGAGAATTGGTGATTCAGCAGGCAAAGCATGGTGAGTGAACCAGCCACTGGTGATAGATTGTTTTCTCTTCTAGTAGAAGTTCGAATCGCCCATTCTTTTTTTGCGGGGTGATATCACCAGCAAATTGAAAAATGTATATTTGGGGATGGATTAAGATGGTCAAATACCAAAGAGGATAGTTTTAGAGCAGAAATGATCAATCTTGTAGATCTCAATTTTAGAGTAGGCATGATCAATCTTGTAGACAATAAATCATGATGATCAACCAGCGCAATTTGGTTAGATATAGTTAGTTGAGCAGCGAAAACAAATGCACATTTATGTATGTGACTGTACCCGTATTTATGATAAATCTGGGACGTGCAGCAAACAACACCAGGATATTCATCAACAAGTACTGGGTATGTCTTAGGTTTGAAGAGCCAACCTTCAGATTGACTGATCATTTATACTGCTGACCTCTGCCGTTCTGGAAGTCCGCGATTTGGACCCAAACAACTGTGCTGGGTAAACGGCTGGACAGATGTACACGGAGAAGTTAATTTCCGAGATAGGAGGTAGAATGTACCAAGCAGATCTGTGTTGCCTAAGCTGGATGGAAATCTCAGCGGCACATGAACGCAGAGAATGCTCCAGTTGGACCAGTGGGTTTGATACTTGGAATATGTTGGAGGTGAGTTGTTTGAAAACATCGTCCAACAGCTCCCCTTTGGAAATGTCATGGGATTCCCACTTTATTTTGGAACTGTTCCATATATTTTCCCATAGCTTTCCCACATGTTGCAAGATGTTCCAATGTTTCCAATATAGCTTCCCATGGTTTTTCCATCGATTTCCCATCCGTTTCTCAATGGGAATTTCGGGATCCTAAAATGGAGGTACTGTATCATATAAGGCCATATTTTGTTGGGGTATTCCCTTACATAGGCCGGAAAAATAGGCCAAAAATATATGGAGCCGGTACCTCCCATGAATATCGGTTCCTGTGAAATGACCATTTCAAATTTCCATCCGTTTTCCCTTACATTTCCGCTGAATTTCCATTGAATTTCAAATTCCCATTGAATTTTCCCACATTTTTCCCGTGGTTTCTGTGGAATTTGCCCAGGCCTCCGCAGAGTTCCTGTCCTTGTCGGCTCTGGCGTATGGCCTCGGCTGTGCCGTGCAGGCCAGTGCCGTGGCGGCGCTGGGGCTGCTGCTGGGGTACCTCAAGGCGCCATCAGCCAGGGCAAAACCATGGGCAAAACTATGGGAAAACATAGAAAAACTATGGAAAAATGTAGGAAATGGTAGGAAACCATGGGAAACTCTTGGAAAACTCTGGAATTGAAGATCATTGGTGGAAAATGTGTGGAAGGATCTTAATTAGGGTTGGGAAATGTCCGGCATTTTGTGGGAAATGTGGAAGAAAACCTCGATATTTGGGTATATACTCAATGTTGATGATGGATGTTTTCGGGGAATCTTTTGGTACTCAGTTCATTTGATATGTGCGGAATATGAGAATATCAACGAAGGGATGTCATATCATCAATATGAGAGCGTGATGTGTGGGTTTGTTTGAAAGTGGGGAGTGATAAACCATCTTTGGGAGTAGCTTGTTTTCAGCCCCATTCAATGTCATGCAGTTAATGAGTGTAGGTGGGTAGGCATCTATGTATATACGATATGCCGGTATTTTAGGTATACAATGCATATGTGGGGATATCCAAGCAAAAATATGGACGTGTTTACAAATAGCATTTCCAGATGGGCTGCAAAATCTTGATTCAAATGATTACCCTCCGCTAATTTAACAGTTTGCTATGGAAACCATGGCCCAGGCATCACTCTCCGGGCATCCCAATTTCTATGGTTGGGCTCTTACGGGAATCGCCACCAAAAGCCACCACGGTTGTTAGATCATGGAAACACCCATATCCTTGATGGTTATAGGCGATGATAGCCCCATTTTTCATAGTGAAGACCCATATCTTTCATGCTTAAATTGTCATTTTTGGTGGTTAACACCATTTTTGACGTTGAAATTTACAATTTTTGATGTGTTTTTGCCCCGACGTGACATCGGCTGGCGCCGTGACTCTCCAAACCAGGACTGGATCCCCGAAAGTTCACCCAACGAAGGGCACTACGAGCCCTGACAGCGGCTGATTCTGGTTGATTTGCTCTTGGGTTAACAGTGGTCAATGATTAATGATGAATGATGGTTAATCATTAACCACTATTTTTCACTATGAATCAATGTTCATCATGATAAATCATGAATCGCTAGGGAATGATTTACATCATTATATACTACCGGAAAAAAAAAACACGGTGTCAGTGAGTAGTGGCTGCTAAACCTCCGTTGATGGGAGATTATACTAGCCAATACATTGGGGATTATCCATGGAACTGGGAAATCCCTTTCAACCAACCAGAAAGATGGAATGACATAGGAAAACTGAACACTGCTCAAATGAAAATTGATAAATTCACCGACAAAAATGGAATCAACCGGGATCTGAGCCAGCAGGACCACCTTGCCCCGAGCAGGTCCCCGCTTCAGCCATGCAGTATTCATGGTCCGCATGGCCTGTACGTGCTCAAAAACACAGATGCTTCAGATAGGATGTTGCAATGAATGACATCATGATTCCAATCTTTTTAGTGATAGTCAGTGCCTGTTTCGGTGTGTGCTCTTCAGATGATGTTCCAGAAGTTCAATGCTTCGCAGCTGGGTGAAACAGTGAAACCTGCGAAATCCTTCCACAGGGTTGTCCCCATGCGCCTTGAGGATAAATTCTATTTCTGCCTTTGCACGTCATGCCTTGGTGCTACCCTGCTCTTTTTCGCGTTCCCGTCACTGGGCTCTGCAGGCGCTTGTTGCTTCAGTAACCTGATGGAAGATGGCCAGATGGTAAACCAAATTGCTCCAGGACAGGGGGCCATATGGTACTCTCTTGACATGATATCATGTGCTCCATCTAATTAAGATCAATCAAAATCGATATAATTCCAATCCATGTACTCCATATTAGTCCCGGATTATTGGGTGGCTGATTGATGTTACCAAATATGTACATTCATTCACATATTCATATCTCTATATATATATACACACACAGTATCAGATGTGTGCTGATGAAATCACAAGCCCCATCCAAACCCGACCTTCAACCTCAGGTCGTGCCCCTGAAGTGGAAGAAAAAATCCGAATAGGTTCATACAGCCCCCATGGAATTGTTATATCCCATATAGAAATACCAAAATTACATCCTGTATCCTTTCCATGAGATTATTCGATTCCATGTTGATTACGGTTGTTCTTCCGTAAAATGCATAGAGTATGTGATTTAAAACTACTATTTTTGTTGTTCTTCTTCTTCTTTTTATTTTTGTTCTATTTGTGGGTTGCGTACGAAATGCCACCAGGTTTAGCGGCTAGCGCCTCCGTTTCCGCCTGATCCGCCAAAGTCTGCGGCAGTGGCGCAACACATGGAAAGCAGCAGCTGTCACATGTCAAAATTGCTATTTGACATCTGAAAATGATGGGAAAACTATTGAAAAACCATGGAAAAGCCGTGAAATCGAATGGTTCATCATCATTTTTAGATCGGGATAAGATGAGATAAGATGTGTTAGGTGGGTGAAGATGGGTTCAATTTCTAGCCATCAATGGGATAAACATCATCGCCAGTTGGAATTCAACTCTTGTGCGCGATCTAGGGAAAATCCTAGGAAAACAAAGGTTGCAAATGGTGCCCTTCAACATAGCCTTGCTCTTTGAACTGATGCCAACTTCCAGATGATATGGTATTCCGTTGATTGGATTTGGGGTTTCATGCGTGCAACCTGTGCCAAGTCTGAATCACGTTGAAGTTGTCGCCATTTCCATCTCCAGAAGGCCTACCTCATGAAAGCGAGTACATGTTGCTATGTCCAAGCACATCAACTGCTGTTCGAGAATGGCGTTCGACATTTAAATGCACTTGACCCATGTAAAGCTAGAATGATCATCCCATTTTGTAGGCGAGTCTTGCCGGACCTTCGTGACAGTTGACTCTGGTATGGCCTACTTATCAATTGGCGATGCCTGCATGAGCACAGAACAGAGATTCACAGCACCCCCAAAACCAATCCACGCAAAATCCAATGTTGAGACAATTGGGAAAAAAGCAAAAGAGCTCATCAGAATTGTGCTCAAAAAAGCCAATGATTTTTGAGAATGATTAACCTAAGAAAATAACCCCGATAGTCCGATAAAGTTTTTTTACTTCTTGGGATACTCCAGCATCCTCACTTCTTGACTTTCTGTCGCCACAGCCGATGGAGTGGTTCTGGAGTGCTGTGGCCACAGCACGGCGGAGCTTCTATGAAGCGCTCAGACATGGCGAGCCTCAAGTGCTGCACTTTGCGGCTGGGATCGACCAAATTCGGGTACTCAGCTTAAAGCATTTAATTCAGGTACTCAGCTTAAAGCATTTAAGTATCTCTTAGCATGAAAGATGTTTAAAGCATGATAGCGGTCATGTTTAACTCCTGTTTAAGTCATGTCGAACTCATGCGGATTTTTAGCGGGAATCCTGGAATCTTCGGAGTCGGATGACTGGGATCGATGGGGCACGCTCCAAGGGGATCAGCCCAGAAAGTGGTACAGGTCTCGGGTGTGGACATCGTTTCAACTGCAAAGTTTCCATGGGATATCCCCACATCCCAATGGATACCCAGCAGATAACCATCCCCAAGTCTGGCGAGTGGATTTCCCCTTCCATTTCTTGGTTAAGATTTGATGTCCTGATTTCAAATCACTCAGCATCCGTATTGATGAATATCCCCATACTGTCGGTCTGTCCCCATCATATCCACTTTGCTGTCCATTATCCCGTGCTAATCCAAGCCAACGACCCATTACCGAACAAAAAAGAAGCCTCAAAATTGGCCATTAATATCCATTCATTACAAGTTCTCTTGGTTAAACCGCCTTCATCTTTGATACATCTGGGTAAATTACAACGACCTCGCTGCGACCTCACTGGAATCATGGTGAATAAGGGGAATCATACCCAAGACAGCCTTATTTCAGGCTAGTGAATTATTATATACCCAGATACATGATTATATTGGTCTTGATTGAAAACCCCATAAATGTGCTTCATCTTCCCAGAGTGTCCCATGTGTGCTATGGTCCAACTTGGGGGATGGTCATCAATCCATGTTCACTTCGGATTTATATAGCCATCGCGCTTGGATTCCCATGGCATGGATGACCATCATCTACAAGACCATCCACAAAAACATCCATATGCTATATCCCCACATGTATATCTCCAAAAAAATGGTTGGGTCCCCAGATGTTGGTTCCCCATCTACCTATCGCTTCCCATGATCTCCCCACTAAATTCCCTATGATACATATATCTTCCATATCTACAATATATCTAAAAATATCTACAATATCATCTACCTGTTAGATATGATATCATCTATGATAATCACAAAAGCTAGCGTCAGCTAGCTGGAGTCTTCTTGCTTTAGCAAGTATTCCGGGGGCTGCTCAAGGACATCACGTGATTTTTCACGCGAAAGGGGGGACCCCCCCCCACCACCCCACCACCCCCCACCACCACCACCACCAGCATCATCATCATCATCATCATCATCATCATCATTATCGTCATCATCGTCCTCGTCATCGTCATCGTCATCGTCATCGTCATCATCATCGTCATCGTCATCATCATCATCATCACCATCATTCATCATTCATCATTCATCATTCATCATTTATCATTCATCATTCATCATTCATCATTCATCATTCATCATTCATCATTCATCATTCATCATTCATCATTCATCATTCATCATCATCATCATCATCAACATCATCATCATCATCATCATCGTTATTCAATTACATTTTATCATTATTGGCAATTATTGGCATTATCACGAAAGCTAGCGTCAGCTCGCTAGAGTCTTCTTGCTTTAGCAAGTATTCCGGGGCTCCCCAAGGACATCACGTGATTTTTCACGCGAAAGGGCCCCCCCCTGCCCCCTCCCCCATATATATATATATATCATTGTTATATATCATATATCATATATCATATATCATTGTTGCGTCCTCGTTGGGACGAACAATCGCGACACGATGATGACAGTCCCTCCGCAACTCACCTCTTCCCTTCCTTCTTTCTCCTACCCCGCTAGCTTTCGTCATCCACCCCCGGCCTCAAGTTTCCCATTCCCCATGTGTAATAGTATCTAGTAATACAATATCACCTACATATATCATCTTTGAGAATTGTAGAGATTCCGAAGATTCCCCTGATATTTCCATTGTGTCTCGCAGTGTCCATTGTGCCTCTCCCCAGGTGGACGAGACCTTCAGCGCCCAGAACTTCCCGCAGGCCTCGGAGCACGAGCTGCGCCAGCGCCGTCGCACCTGGCAGGAGCTGCTGCGCCGCTTCCAGCGCCACGGCGAAGCCACGGCGGCCGCGGAGGGAGGAAATTCCTGGGGGAAAAACCATGGAAAAATGGCGGGAAATCATGGAAAATCAGGGAAAAACCAAGTGGAAATCGAGTTGGTGGAAGTTTTGAAGCTGAAAATTATGAGATTCACCATACTGGGGAGATGTATCAAGATACGTAGATACTAACCTTGAAAATCCATGGGACTAGGTCGCTTTTATTGAGATGTTGGCATCATTGGGGTGTGACCAACATGGTGAATCCAATCGCAAACCATGTCAGGCTGAAAACATTTGGGTGGCGCAGGTGTTATACACTAAAGAAGTTGGATGAGAAGTTGGATGAGAAGAAAATGTGGCTTCATTGGACTGAGCCGCAGTACCTGTGACAACTGGGAGAAGCTCCGCCAAAAAGTTGCCAAAAAGTTGCCAAATGTCAGCGCCATTTTCAGCCCAGGAAGTATGGTCACTTCTCCACCGGCAATTTGGTCGCCTGGCATCGATGGTGGGCTCATCACGACTCCGCATTCGCCACATTCATAAACATCATGGAATATCAATGCTTTATGCATATACAATCATATACGTCACTACGTTATAGATGCACTGTGTTTTGTGCATTTACATGTGTGTATATATATATACACATCACATGATGTGTTCAGTTTTCCTTGTTTCACATGTTGTTTTACAGTGGAAAACCTGTTGCAACTGTCCCTTGCTCAGTTCCGGGCGCTTGGAACTTGAGGTGACTCCACTGGAAGGTGGCGATGCATGCTTCACAGAGATGCTGCAGGTGTTGTCCCAGCATTGGTCTTAGGTTGGTCATCAGTTGGGGACAGCCAAAAAGATGTGGAAAACCCACCATGAATGTAGATCATGTTCCGAACGGGAAACCATAGGAGTTTTCCACATCTTTTTGTTTACCAAAAGGTAAAAACAATCATATGTTCATTATCCATACTGCCGTGAAATAAGCCACGTCCACGGGTGGTGTAGTTCTTGTCCAGACCTCGATGTCACTTGCCGTTCCAGGAGACAAAGAACATCAAAAAACCTGTTGGTTTCAAGGTGATTTACATTGATATACCGGGTAGCTTGGAAGTGGTGCAACCGGCGAGGCGATTTCCCTATCCCAAAGCCGGGTGTGGTGTGAAAGCTACATCTTTGACAACAGCCACTTGGCATCTGAGCATTGAGTGAGCCAAAGTAAAAGCAGTAGTGTTTTGAGTAGTTCCAGTCAAAGTTTTGGAAAAAGTGTTCTGGCCATGCGAGTATTTCAATTTCATTCGAAGCATTTTTGGACCAGATCTCCGCGGATATGACTTTCTGGCCGCTTTTGTTCTGAACGGATAAAACTGGATAAAACTGCTGAAATTCACATGGCTCCAGAAACCCTGGTGGGTGATGTTGCGTTGACAACGTTACCGTTATTTTTTTCCATGGTTTCATTCGTTAAACCCATTTGCTGGGTTAAAGAATGTTAAAGATCCCCTTACTCTCTGGTATTCCATCTTCAAAAGCTGGATCTACTAGTAGTCTACAACAAAAGTATCATCTTTTTTCATCCAATATCTTCCCATGTTTTATTCGAAATTCTCCCCAACTCCCAACTTTCATGGTATGATACGAAACTTTATGGTAATCAAAGCTGTTCCTTTTCAGATCCAACTGTCGCAGGTCGTGTCGCCGAGATCTTCTTCACCGCCCTGCGCGATGCCGCGTCGCGGGGCCTCGATGTGGTGCTGCTGGTGGACTACATTGGTGCCTTCGCACTACGACAGGTCGCTTGGAAAAAGATGTGGGTCCCCAGTTATGGTTGATATATGTTGAATTGTGTTGATATATGTTGGTATTCATTATTATTCATAGATATTCACGGGTATTCATAATTATTCATAGTTATTTTAGTTGTTATTCATAGTTATTCCCCATTTACCCATGGAAATGGCTGGTAAAGTAGTTCTTTTTTTTTGCTTCTTTATCCATTGCTCTGTTTGCATGGGATGCCACAATTCTAAAATGGTGATCCGCCATGAATCTGTGAGCCCAGCATGGATAATATGGGAGTAACCCCGCAAATTCCACAGTTATCCCCATAATTTATCTTCAACCATTCCGAATGCTTGCCAGCCAATATATGAATGGATGGGATATCAAGATAAAACCAATATAAATTGGAGGATTGGAAGTTGTATTCCCAACCATGGATATAGTACTGCAATCGGTCCATCCACAATGAAAAGATGTGCTTCTCCGTATTCTGCTCGACGTTTGCCTCCAAAACCTGGACCCCAGGAGCAAAAATTAAAGCCTGGGGAATCGGTTTTCCATCGAATCCCCAAATTCTTGTCTATTTGTTGGCTCTCTGTGGCTATCCATCACTGTCCTCTTGTTAGTTTTTCTTTGATTCTTCTGCCAGGACTGGGTCCGCGAACTTCGCAACGCAGGATGCGACGTGGTCTTCTTCAATCCCGTGCTGCCTGCGAGTCTCTGCGTGGGGCCCATCTCCTTCAGAAGCTTGGAAAAGATTGGAATCTGGTGGGAAATTTCATGATTTGACCCTTTTTTTAAACATGACTGGTGAGGAAATCTCTCCCCCTAAATGCAGGTTTGGTTCGCGAAAATCATTGAACTAAGATTTGGCCATGCGGGACCGGATTTCTATCGATTTTGACTTTCGCTGCTGCCATCAAGACTTGGGAGACCATCCTGGGAACTGCTGCGAAAGCGGGTCTGTTGGACCCTCCGTGACTTCGAATCACGGATAGATCATCCAGGTTAACGCTTAAAAGTCCATTTGCTTGATCTGAGTAGGTCAAGCTCCGAAATCCCGTTCTGTCCCAATAATTATGGAGTCGGATAGGTGCCGATGAAAATGATACTGACAGTTTCTGCACCAGCTGGGTATGGCCAATGACGAGCCCAAGGAGATCATCGAAAGATCATGATCTGCGACGAAGTGGGCTTCTGTACATGGGTTGCAGAAAGGCCCGAAACAGGTACTGTTTTGGTGAAATTGCTAGTGATGCTTTAGGACCAGAAACCATCCAGGAAGTTGAAAATGTTGACCTATACATGGGATTGGACTTGTGCGGGGGAATCGATAGTGGTGAAGCAGTTTAATGAAGCGTTGTTAAGAGATGAGCAGAGGAATGGGGACTCCCAAGTAAAGAGGCTCATTTGCCACTTGCGATTCCTGTGATGCACATCCAAGATCATCCAAGAAGGGGTGTTTTTTGTCGGGAAAAGGTGGTCTCTGTCACTGGGCACTCCTTGCAATATCTAGATCCATGTTTGGGACAAGACTTGAATCGAAAGGATAAAATCGATACATGAATGGAAACCAAAGACATAAAATCTAGGTTTGAGGCTGCACATGGACAAAGGTATGAATTTCCCTCAAAGGGTGCAAAAGTTTGAAGGTGAATCTTGCTAATCAATGTTTCTTTCAGCACGGAATCGCTTGAAGGACACATGCCACACATTCCAATATCCCCAAGCAGTTTCCTATGCCGAATTCAACCAAGTGATTGAATCGTTACCATTTTGAACTCTAAAACAGCTGAAACTGCCCGTTGCTTGTTGAGGTGGCGGCATGAACATCCAGGAGGAAGTCGGTGAAGAACTCTTCGGCACCAGCTGCTCAGCCGTCAAGTCAGCGTCGCTCTGGATCCGAGGACTTGACCCATCCAGAAGGGAAGCAGCGGATGTTGGGTGTGAAGCCAGGCCAAATGATTCACCGATGGTTTGCTTAGCTTTGAGAGAAAGCCTTGTGCAATCTGAATCTATGACTTGGATGTTTCCCTGATTCCTGGTTCTGAATTAGTAGCTACATTTTCCTTCATTAGCAGCATGAGACCCAGTTATCAGTTTGACTTCATGGTTTAGCCATCGGTCCTAGGAATGTCCCCAATTTTTCCGGTGGGGTTGATGAAATGGAAGATTCACAGATAAAACAGTCAGCCGGCTGGATGAGGCAACATCCTTAGGCCATCATGCTCGGTTGGATATCCCATTGAGTCTATTGAGTCTATTGCTTCCACCCTCACTACCCCTATCACCCCTATCTGCTCGCACCGTGCAAAATCACAATGGTGCCTTCACCCCTCTTTGGCTGTCGGGGGTCGCCTGCGGTTTACTACATTGCTTGTCATGGTTTCTCGCCATTGGGTAGTATGGTCATCCAAAGATACGTTGATTGAATCAACTAATCAACTACCAACATTGTGTCAGCCGAATCGAATCCCACACTTAGGTCCCAATCATCCCATTGGTTGACCTTGGCACCCCCAACCTGACCGCCCTGGCCCAACCGTCGCCGCCCGACCCGACGACACGCCGGAGGTCGCTTCTACGACGTGCACGCGAAGCTGCAGGGCCCCTGCGTGGCGGATCTGGCCGAAGTCTTTCGCGACTCACTGAAGGAAGCCGGCGCCTCGGCGGCCTCGCCTCGACGACAGCGGAGCCACGGGAGGGAACCAACTGCGATTAGAAGCATTTGGAAGCCATTCCCTGAGGATGGATGAGGATGCATTTAGAAGTTTGAGTCCTAGGAGATCAAGTACGAAAATGTGTGATGATTTGTAGATGATGAGTTGTTGAACCAATGGAAAATGGTGATGCAATAGAACCGGGTATCTTTGCCAACAGAAATGGGAATGTAACCAGTTGATCCATGTGTAATCCCAGAAAGCGCACCCCTAGCATACCTCAATCGACCAGCAGAGGGGTCGTCACCTGCAACGGTCTAAGGGTCTGAACCCAAGGCGGCCAGAGGTCCAGTTGTTTCAGCCAAGGTGGACATGTGGTGCGAAATCCTATTGATCCACCTGCCAGGATAGAGCCTGGCGTGTACTTCGGTGGATAGTGTGGGATGGGATCCAATGGGATCCAATGGGATCCAAAGACTAAAAGGAATCTTGCCTTTAAATGGCTTTAAGATCTTGCCTTTCAACAGCTTTGTGGTTCAGAAAAGCTTGTTGTTGGCAGCCTAGCAGCGAGCCTGGAATCGAACTGGGGGCATGTGGCATCTCCGAGTCGGCCGTGCCGGTGATTGAGATGCAAACTTCAACATAGGTAGATGTACCGGTTCCATGTTTGGGTCTGGAAGATTGTCTTATATTATAGATTATTGATGATTATTTTTCTTATTGTAATATGTTAAGTCACCAATCCAAGAAACCCATGTCTCGGATTGCCATTGTTCAAAGCCCTGAAGTTTCTGCCCGATGAATGGTACAAAGTGACCAATGCAGTGTCCTGGGAGTAGAAATCAAAGAAATTGAAGCTGAGATAAAACCAACCGACGCCATGAATATCTGGGCTTCTCCCAGTGAGTTGGTTTCCCAGGCCATGGATCTTGCTGCCATCCTTCCGAGTGGTCGCTGTGAGTTTCACTTGAGCCAACTGCAGTTGAAACCCTGATCAGGGTCCCACAGGTGTCTCGACAAAGATTCTTGAGACTTGTTACTTCCAAGGGATGGTTGCTATCAGATCCACTGGAAACCATCCAAAGTGCTGGGGTTCAAGATGGAGACAGCGTCACTGCTGTTGCACAACAAGGACGTCTCGCTGCAACACAAAAAGCATTTGCTGCTTTCCTGGTAGATGGACGAGTTGTTGGCTGGGGCGATCCCGCCAGCGGTGGACATCGCAGTAGAGTGCAAAATGAATTGACAAATGTGCACCAAATACAGTCCACAGAAGCTGCCTTCTCAGCCATTTTGGGAGAGGGAAGGGTGTACAACATCTTCTTACAGATGCGCGGCAGAACAACAGGTGCTTTTGCTGCTATCGTGGGAGATGGAAGAGTCCATGGGGCAATGAAGCTGGTGGCGATTGCTCTACCATCCACAGGTGAATCTTACCCTTCAATCTACCAAGGCTGCCGCTGCAATCATCAGCACTCGCAGATGGAAAGGTTGTTGCGCGGGGTGCTGCAAGTGGTGACTGCAGCGTCAAACATCAAGCTGATAGATGTGTGGCAAGTTCAATCGACGAGATGCCTTCGCTGCCATCTTGGAAACTGGAAGAGTTGTTGCATGGGGCGATCCTGCCAGCAGTGGAGACGCCAGCAGGGTTGAAGATCAACTGACAAATGTGCATCACATCCAATCCACGAAAAGTGTCTTCGCTGCTATCCTCGGAGATGGAGAGTTATTGCCTGGGGCAGGCCAGCACATGGCGGAGACTGCAGTATCGTTCAAGATTTTTTGAAAGATGTGAAAGAAATTCAATCCACACTGACTGCCTTTGCAGCTTCAGTGTACTGCAAGATCAGTTCCTTGGTGCAACCAATTCAGTCCACAAGTGCGGCATTTGCTGCCGGTGGTGATTGCACCCTTTCGGAAGACAAGGCCAGTCCAACGACTTCTCCTAAGATCCAGCTCCAAGGCATGCTTTTGCTGCTGTACAAACGGTAGGGCGGTTGCCTGGGGAGATCTTTCTTACGAAGGGTATGGCGGATTTGACATCCAAATAATTGTTGATCAAGCGCAGTTTGGCTCGTAACCGCTGCGTGCAAAAGCGCGCTTGCTCACAGTGGAAACCGACATGCTAGAGAAGGCGCCTGTGAAAAGGGTAGATACTTATTGGGTCTGCAAGTTACGGGCGGAACTTTGGCTGTTTCTAAAACTTGTCATTCTTGGTCCCGGACGTCTCGAAACAGGAATTCTGGGCAATGCGGGAAGTGCCCAGATCGGAATACAAAGAAGGCCGTAACCACTTTCCATGAACAAGATTGGACACACTGTTTGGGCAATATTGCGGCCATTGGACTTAAGAAACCACAGTCTGCATAGAAGTTCTGAAGTTGTCACTTGAAGCTTGAAACAAATTTCTGGCCAAATAATTTAAATTAGTTGGGTTCTAATTTGTTTTTCGCAAATTCTTTTCCATAAATAAATATAAAGAGACACCAAATTGGAGGGGCTACGGCCAAGACGTGTTTCAATTCACAAAAGAGATCACCGATCTCCGTCCAAGGTATGTACAGATCTTGCAGTCCAACGTACGACAAAGGCGGAGGACCTTGCAAAAGGTCATGGCCAAAAGCATCGATGGCGCCCACGAGTCCGTGCTACTCACCACGGTGGATGGCCCCAGCGTCCGTCACAGGTCTTACCTTTTCAAATGTAGAAACTTGTGGAAAGCCCTGAAATGGAGCGGAGAACTGGAGATTTCTTGCTTTTCCTACTTGGTATGGATGTTTGCAAGGGAAGATTCAAACAGAAGTGAAAGGAAATTAGGTTTTGCTCTCTGAAGTTCCGAAACAAGTAGGACTGACAATAGCTCATTTGCCACATGTCAATGCGCAATCTTTGACAATTTGGACCCCCTGTCTTTCTGAAGGCAACCGGATTGGGTCCTGGTGGGTTCCAGTCAACTCCTCCGGTTGAAAACGGCATGTTAATCAGTGTGGCTGAAGTATGTGCTCAAGATGCTTCTTATTTTTCCATAATGGTCAATGTTTTCAATGATGTTGTGTTTTCAGGAGTGCTTTTTGGTATCTCCCTTGGACACAAATACACCAGGAGCAACGACAGCAAATAGGATGCAGCTCATTGCAGCTCGAGGCGATCATAGCTGTTGTTATCTGGGTCACTGTGCCCGGACAGCAAATGAGGCATACTTCTTCCCGCCAACCTTTCTGAAAGGCGCACTATTGAAACTTGGACCAGCGCTGAGGGAACCCTGTGTTTGGGGTAGGTATAGCTAATCGGGTTTTACCATTGTTTCGACATATTCCTTCCTAAAGTACCAAGGTGGCTATGGATACAAGATCTTCTTCCCGACTTAGGTGGGTGTTACCCTCATTGCTCTAAGTTCGAAGTGGGACCTCTTGCTATGGGTTGCCTGGAAGCTTTCACCCATGGCAACTTGCTTGGAAGGCCGCATTGACAGGTCCACAGGAGAACAGGAGAGGACTACACTGGTTTCTCCCATGACATTAGGTAATTTTGGCAGACTTTAAGTACCCGGAGTCCGTTGATTTCATTGATGGTATTTTCAACTGCACCAGACATTGTCTGTCCACAGTTCTATGTCTCTTGCATTTCTGGCATATTACAAGCCAGGAAAACCGCTGCACATGCGGCTGCTGCATTTCCAGACCCGCAGACCCCGTATCCATTCATTCCCCACAACTTTGTGCGGAGTTCTTGTTTTTGATTCTGTATCCCGGGTGCTCCGCCTCCCGCTCCGCCTCCCGCTCCGCCTCCCCGCCCGCCTGTAAACCACCATCTTTCACACACCTTCTTTCACACACCATCTTTCACACACCATCTTTCACACACCATCTCTCACACACCATCTTTCACACCATCTCTCACACACCATCTTTGTCAACCATCTTTCACACACCATCTTTGTCAACCATCTTTGTCAACCACCATCTTTCACACACCTTCTTTCACAAACCATCTTTCACACACCATCTTCACACACCATCTCTCACACACCATCTTTCACACGCCATCTTTGTCAACCATCTTTGTCAACCATCTTTCACACACCATCTTTGTCAACCATCTTTGTCAACCACCATTTTTCACACACCATCTTTCACACACCATCTCTCACAGACCATCTTTCATACACCATCTTTCACACACCATCCCTCACACACCATCTTTCACACACCATCTTTCACACACCATCTCTCACACACCATCTTTCACACGCCATCTTTGTCAACCATCTTTGTCAATCACCATCTTTCACACACCATCTTTCACCATCTCTCACAGGCGTGGCACTTGGCGACATCCACCTTCGTTTCACGTGGCAGGCGTGGCACTTGGTGACATCCACCTTCGTTTTGCGAGGCAGGCGTGGCACTTATGGCACTGCGTGGCGCGCTTGGACGGCTTGGTCGCCGGTGACGCCGCGGCACTTTGCGTGGCAGGCGTGGCACTTATGGCCATCTACCTTCGTTTTGCGTGGCAGGCATCGCACTTGGAGACATTCACCTTCATTTTGCGTGGCAGGCGTGGCACTTATGGCATTCCGTGGCGCGCTTGGACGGCTTGGTCGCCGGTGACGCCGCGGCGCTTTGCGTGGCAGGCGTGGCACTCGGCGACATCCACCTTCGTTTTGCGTGGTAGGCGTGGCGCTTAGTGACAGCCACAATCGCTTTGCGTGGCAGGCGTGGCACTTGGCGACATCCTCCTTCGTTTCACGTGGCAGGCGTGGCACTTGGTGACATCCACCTTCGTTTTGCGTGGCAGGCGTGGCACTTATGGCACTGCGTGGCACGCTTGGACGGCTTGGTCGCCGGTGACGCCGCGGCATTTTGCGTGGCAGGTGTGGCACTTGGTGACATCCACCTTCGTTTTGCGTCCTCGTGGCACTGCTGCCGCCCTCACAAACACACACATCACTTTCATACACACCATCTTTCCCACACAACTCTGTCACGCACATGATCTTTCTTCGCCACACACCATCTTTCACATACCACTTTATCACACACAATTGTTTTAACTTTTGGATCTTTCACCACCTCCTTTGTCTTTCCTTCCTGCCCCGTTCCCGCTACAACCTTTGGTGCTCATTATTGGAAGAAGTTGACTTGTGGGATTATCCGGTCCTTTAATTTTATTTTCAATGCGTATCCATAAATATGATAGATGTTTTAAGCTGGTACGCATGATTGCCCAGAGGTTAACAGGGAACCTGGCAAAGTGTGCACGATGTTCAATGACATTAGCCTTCGAATGTGCCACTTTCTCGAGATTTACCTAAACCCTGTGCATTTCACATCAGGAAATAGATGAAAATGTCAGACCAAACCATAGATGAACTGGCCATGTCTTGGGTCTGCACATTTCCCATTTTTGGATAACAAGAGTTGCCATTTCACATGCGATGCAATCATCCAATGATTTCGAAAAAAAAACAAAACACCAAAACACAACGCATCCCTGCCTGAGGCGTGTTCCTGCACGTGGAGCGCATCTCTCTCTGTGACTGGCTGCGCTTGGTCTAGGGGCTCTGGGTGATCGGCCAGGTGAATATGGGGACCCAAAATGGGGGAACACGGTTCAGTAAAGGGAAGATATGGGAAGATGATTCTGAATATGGACTAGGAACATGAAATGTCGCAACTCTTTGGTGAAACGGGATGCCAAATTTTCGGACGCTGTGGAAAATTGCAGAACCATCAAATTTGCACGTACCAAGAGCTGTATGGCCAATCTCTTAGGGACTCGTGATCTATGAGTATGACAACAAATTATTCACTGACAATTGTGTTGCTCTTTGGGCCCCTATTTATGGCAGAGTTCTCGTGAAGTACCGACCTTACAGTAGCTATATGATGTTAAGATATGTTGAGACCTCTGAAGCCTTTTGATTTCACGTATTTCTATGGCATCTCCAGTCGGCACCTGGTGAAGCTGAGGTTGCTGTCCGGTTCCTCAGATTTTTTCCCTTTGCCCGGCGACTTGCTGGCACAGTCGCATTTCTTGCGCAACTTCCTGCGAGATACGTCCGAAGAGCGCGTGAAGGTCTACCTCTACGAGAAGCGGCACATGTGCTGCGGCAGCAAAAGATCCTGAACTGTCAAAGTTTTCAAGGGCCATTGGAAGGTAACCTTTCCATCCTTTCCCCATTCTGTCACAGTACGATCAAGTGCCACCACATAGGATAAAGATAAAGAGAGCCTTGAGTCTGTGGTCAAGACTGTTAGATGCACGGCTATTCAATACACTTTTTTCTATGGGTTGTCCAAGGTTGGTTTGGTAGGACCAACCTAAGCAAACTCTTGACCCATACCCTCACAGCCTCACAGCCTTCTGCACCCTTTGATCAAAGACAAACAATCTCTTCAGTCTCTTGATTTTGCTCAGGCATGCGAAGCACATGTGTGTGGATGGTGTGTTTTCAACCATCGGATCCTTCAACTTCGATCTATATTCTGCGCGGCGAAATCTGGAAGTGGGCGTAGCCGTCTTTGATCGCAACTTTGCACTCAAGATGCAGGAGCAGTGTGAGCATTGTGTTTGTTTGGCACAGGGCGCTCGGAAATGCGTCTTCTTTGTTACTTTAGAAACGATTCTGAAGCAAAAGCCTCAGATGCATCAAAAGGGCACCTCACTGACACAAAAGGAACCTCATCGAGCCGTAGTGAAGCGGCAACATGTAGACCGTACAATGTGTTTTTTCACGTTGATATGGCAGAAAGCCAAAGTCTCCCAAAGCCACTCTTGAGGACTTCAGAAGTTCACGTGTCATACCAGTAGTACCGCACAAGGCGGTGGCGGAAGTTTCAAAGATTGGAAACCTGTAGGGGAGGTGAGTTGTTGTGATTCCTGAGTGCAGAACGAATCTCTATCTCTCTATCTCCTTCTCTGTGTGTGTGTGTCTCTCTCTCTCTATTTATATCTCTATCTGTCTACCTACCTACGTACCTATCTATCTTTCTTTCTATCTATCTATCTCCGATTCATTGCGTGTGTGTTTTGTGTATGCATTGCTTGTGCAACTGACCACCCAAACGCTTTTTTAAGTAGGGGTATGGCGGCGTACTTTGACATCTATAAACACAATCAAAACCTAATCATTATTGTAGGGAATAAAGTGCCAAGCAAAGTCTGAAACATGCGGGAAACGCCATCCTCAGGAAGCTTCAGTCTTCAGTGTTTAGCAAGACTTTTCTTCACCACTTGCTTCCACCTGAGTTATACCCAGTAGCCGCCACCACCCCGAAAAGAGGTGTATGAATTATCGAATTAAAAGGGTATACCCCTAGGAAAGAAACCAATATTCGATTCATAGCCTCCAAGGGTCTTCAAGGAAAGATGAATGACAAGTTTCAAACATGGCTTCACCATGGACATTTACTGAAGTGCTTGATCCACAGCACTTTCATTGGAGACCAAGGATGCCATCTTGATTTTGACATCCAGAATTTGGCATGAACAGAAGATGTCAGGATGACATTTTACAGAAGTACCCCACAAGGCGATCATATTCTGGGTGAACCCAGTGATAAGTCAATAAGAAAGCAGATCCACGGATGGACCCCCAAAAAACTAGACGACGGTTGGCCCGAGAGCGAAAAATACGTTTTTCAAGCAGCTCTGAGTATGGTAGTCGTAAAAAATAGTCGGTGAATGGTTGGTGAATTGTATATGAGCTATGGAGGGATAAGTTGTGAAAAGTAAGATTGATTAAGAAGAGGATACATGTGACAACCCATGCACATGCACTGTGCTGTTTGGTAAAGGGCATCATATGACACGTGACTTGCAACCACAGAGAGACATAGATAGAAAGAGAGAGAGAGAGAGAAAGGGAGATAGAAAGAAAACATGAAGAAATATAATGTGAGCAACAAAAGTGCACCGGAGGCTCGGTACCATGATGCTGCGAATGACATGTGTTATCTCATTTTACTCTGGTAATTCCCACACACATTGCCGAAAAAGCTCGGTACCATCATTCCGCTTTTATACAGAGACGCTTTTACACACAGAAGCTTTTACACACAGACGCTTTTACACGCAGGAGCTTTTACGCACAGACACTTTTACACACAGAGACTTTTATACACAGACGCTTTTACACACAGAGACTTTTATACACAGACGCTTTTACACACAGACACTTTTACACACAGAAGCTTTTACACACAGACGCTTTTACACACAGACACTTTTACACACAGACGCTTTTACACACAGACACTTTTACACACAGAAGCTTTTACACACAGAAGCTTTTACACACAGAAGCTTTTACACACAGAAACTTTTACACACAGAAGCTTTTACACACAGACACTTTTACGCACAGACGCTTTTACACACAGGAGCTTTTACACACAGACCCTTTTACACACAGACGCTTTTACACAAACACTCTCACACACACACAGACTTTTACACACAGAAGCTTTTACACAGACGCTTTTACAACACATACCAACACGAAATGATTTTTTGAAATCGCAGTGAAACGTCGTGGCTCAGAAGTGCCAACCTTAGTGCATAGCACAGCGCTGGACACATTCCAGTAATTTGATTTGCTCCAAGACCAAAAACATCCATCAAAAACGCAGGCCGGTACCAAACTGGCGCAAGAGCCACCTCGGAAATTTCAGATTGCACGATCATGCATATAGTTGTTCACTCGTACCAAGATGAGATCGTCTGTCATCGAGTTAGATCAGACAAAAACATGTAGATCAACACTTTTCAACTGTACAGACAGACAGCAGTTGGCTACTGATTTTGCACGGTCGCCGCGAACAGTTTCTCTCCAGACGAACAGATTAATTTCCGTCCGCCGCACTCAGTTCCATGTGCCACTCGGTACGCAAACCTTCCAGCTTCCACAAAGCCTCCAAGACATAGGGGCGATTGTGCCAAGGGCGCAAGGAAGCAACTGGACGGCATCCTCTGCAGAGTAGTTGTAACCCACGACGAGCCGAGCCAAGCACATAAAGCCTCAGCGCTTCGATTGATGCCTCCAAAGCAATGGAAGAGCACGTGCATGGATTCGCCCCTGGTCACTGCCAGCATGGATTGTTTCCAGAGTTGGCCACAAACAATTTTCCACTGTTCCAAACAAGAAGCTACCAAGTCAGGGATTCGTTCCTCCCAACGGTGCGGCGGCTTCAATGTCGTGTCCTCCATGTGACACTTGATGTGAAAGACTTTTTCTTGCTGGAAATACCGCGCCCAATCTTTTGGGGCGCCTCGAATCCCCATTTCATTTGCGCACATGGTCACCACCACGGTGACCTTCACCGACAGAGTCTTGAAAACGTGTTCCAAGCTACACGCCGCTTTGATGCTTCCAAGCAACACCGACGCTCGATCCGTAGGTTTGCAGATCACGGCAGCGTCCAACGGCCACTGTTCTATGGCATTGAAATTGTAAGGGTGCTGACAGGTAATGCGGTCCAGGTCATTCCAACATTCTTTGTCGGCGTAAGCCCTCCTGATATCTTCTTCTCGCGCCGCTCTCCACTCGCGAGCGCTGGTGGTCATGGCGGCAACTGTGATCAAACAGACGGTCCCTACAGAAATACAAAGTTGGAAGTATGAAACTATGCAAAAGGCTGCTTTCATACAAGCTTGAACACGATGCAAGCCATTTAACAGATTTGAGCCTACATTCTGAGCCATGCGAACGACAACAATGCAAGCGCAATGCAAGGACAAAACTACCTCCCGTGGCAACGAAGTACAGGTGCACAACTACAAGTCATTATTTCAATCTACAGGTACAGCACGCAACGATGCCTTCACCCACCGGCGCGCTAAGGTCCAGCTGATTACCAGGTTTAATGACCACGACTACCCTCTGCATTACTTACTTCCAAGTGGGACACTGAGTTGCAAGCCGAAACTCGGTGCCATGATGCTGTAGAACCACTGCCATTCCCAGCGCTCCTCCACGGCATGCGTGACAAAACCTGCCATACAGACACAAAATAGCTCCTGCAATATTGATACACGAGTCTGTTCTGATTTTGTATACGTATATCAAGACAAATTACCCAAAAAACAGCTCGATACCATGATGTCGAGGATCTCACATGTTTATTCATTTTCATATGGAAATTCTCACACAATTTACCAAATAAGCTCGGTACCATGATGCCGTGGATGACCTTAGTTGCACGACTTTACAGTGAAAATGTAAACAAAAGAGAACAAAAGTGCACAAACAAGGGCTCAGTACCATGGTATCCAAGATCTAAAGCTCAGTACAATAATGCTGTGAATGATTCCACAATAAAAAGTTCAATATCATGATGGCATGGATGACACCTTTTTCACTACATTTCGCTCGATGCACGGACAGTCCCTGCAGGATCGAGCACGTCAAAATTCAGTGTTTCAAAGATCTTTCTTCATTGGCTCGCACTTCCCGTTGGATGGACAGCAACTCGGGATCCTTGGCCCAACGCGCATCCGACACCACAGATTGAAAGGTCGGGCTTGCACGAAGCCAGCGACTCCACTTGTCTATCGACCCTGCATACCTTGTACCACGCGCAAAGTGAGACCCAAGCCAGAATCATCTGGAAACAATGCAAGTCCAGTCGAGCCAACGCTGGAGCTGCCAACTTCGCGTCAAGCTTGGGAAGCCAGAATTCAGCCAGCATTTGTTTACCAACACTGGAAGGGCGAGCGACAAGAGAGACCACAGAATTCTCATCCGCGAGCTCACGAAGGATAGTCAAACCCTCACGAGCCGCGAATCGGCGATGACCTTCCGCTGCGATGCAAATGCTTCTTTTGCCACAACGTCCTCCGTAATGTGTTTCCATGCGACCAACCAAGTCGCCCAGTAAATCTCCCACAGTCATCCACTGCAGTAAATGCTCTTGGTATAAGAGATCGACGCTGGCATCTCGTGGGTCCATGTTGAATAGAAAATGAAACTCAAGAAGGGCACTCAGCTGCTGGAGAGGCCAGATGTTCAAACGAAAACAAATCTCCACCGACATGGGCTGTGTCTCTGCCAAGTTCGGCGACACGTGTTCATGGACAGCTGACAGTATTGAACCGCGTTCTCTTCGATGGAGATAGATGTCATCCAGACGCCGACGCAAGGCGCCAGGTTCCATGTCAACAGCTAACCCCGCCGACGTCAAAGCAATTAAAACTGCAGTCCACACCAAGTAATTTCACTATGAAAATTCCTACATAAATTGCCTAAAAACTCGGTGCCATGATGCTGTAGATCACATATGTTACAATACTTTACAGATACAGACTGAAAGATCAGAACATGCATTTCAGATAGAGATGCATCACCGCATTTTTTTCCAGGATGCAACCACTTTTCAGCAAGCACCGCGAAGTGCGGTCGCAAATAAACATAATTGCAATGAACCTGCATCATCTCCCCGTTGCTCGGTCAGCCTTGCTGGTGCCATGATTACCAACTGCATTACTTATTTCCAAGTGTGACACTGCATTGCAAGACGAACACTTCACAGATGTAACTGGAACACTCCCGTCAAAGGAACTTGCCCGTGTCAGACACTGTCAGCGCACTCTTACATTTTTCGAAGCACCGTGCAAGCAGGCATGCACGCCAGTTCCTTCCGCAGAACGTGCAAGCCGCAGCATAGCATGCGAATTTGTATGAGAATCATGTCGCTCGATGCACGGACAGTCCTTGCAGCATCGAGAACGACAGAACTCAATTGTTCGAGAAGTGCAAAGCGTGTAAGTACACGGGCAGTTGCTCCAGATTCAGATCCATTGAAAATCAGGCATGCCATCAAAATCTGGCGCGCCATCAGATTCAGCAAGCTCCAGCTCACACCCCGCGGAAACACATGGCACTGCATCAGTGCCAGCAGGGCTGTCGTCAACATCTGTGTCAGGATCAACATCTGGGGCCATGAGTCGAAGAGTCTCACGTGTATGCAGCGGGGTCTGTTAAAGTTTCCACCAGCACATTCTCACCCAGGCAGCTGTACTTGAGCAAAAGGCTTAAAAGCACCTTGCGCCGCTTGATGGACCTGAGCACTAGACCTGCTGGCCTGTAATCTTTTTGACCAATTCTATCATGCCCATGCTGAGGCTGGCAGCCACCTGCTTTGGGAGACATTTCCTCGGCCTCAGCGGCCTTGCCCTCTGCCAGCTCCATCTTGCACGGAAAGACAGGGAACGAGGGACACGGCAATGACAAAAAGCCAAAAGTGCTGACATTTAAGCCGGAAATGCAACACCCATTGAAAACTCAATGGCCAACCCATGCGCAATTGCCAAAAAAAGGCTCGGTACCATGATGTTGCAGATCACACTTGTTCTCTCATTTTATGATGGAAATTCCCACTCAAATCGCCAATAAAGGTCGGTACCATGATGCTGTACATGACATATGTTATCTCACTGAATTATAACATTTCTACAAAAGAATCAATGCAAGACCATATCCACAGAAGAAAGATGTCGCGAGTATTGCTTTCAATGCATCTCTGCATTCACTTGAGGCTCCGACCAAACGATTCTTTTGTAGAAGATCCAGTTGAATGCCGCTCACACAGAGAACGCGGTAAAACTCCATGCTTGAATTGGAACAATCAGAAAACTCAATCTCCAAAGAATGAATGCGAGACCATGTCCACAGAAACAGAACATGGAACAATCAGAAAACACAATCTCCAAAGAATGAATGCCGGACCATATCCACAGAAGAAAGATGTCGACAGCATTGCTTTAAATGCATATCTGCATCCACTTGAGGCTCCGACCAACCGATTCGCTTCAACATCTAGTTGAAGACCGCTCGCACAGAGAACGTGGTTGCAAAAACTCCATACTTGAATCCCACGAGACTCTATGATCCAACTAAAGACAAATCAATCCTCGCAGTCACATACCACCTCAACAGAAAACAGAAATCAATTTTCAATCCAACCATTGCATGTCTCAATCGCAGACTTTTACACACAGACGCTTTTGCACACAGACGCTTTTACACACAGACGCTTTTACACACAGACTCCTTTACACACAGACGCTTTTACACACAGACACTTTTACACACAGACGCATTTACACACAGACACTTTTACACACAGAAGCTTTTACACACAGAAGCTTTTACACACAGAGGCTTTTACACACAGACTCCTTTACACACAGACGCTTTACACACAGACGCTTTTACGCACAGACCCTTTTACACACAGACGCTTTTACACTCAAACACTTTTCACGCACAGAGGCTTTTACACACAGAAGCTTTTACACACAAAAACACTTTCACACACAGAGACCGGACCCGTGAAATCGCAATTTTACCTCAGTTTTTGGCGATCGAACCTCATTTCGCGTGTAAGGGTTGCGATTGACACCTCAAAATCGCACTTTTACTTCAGTTTTTGACGTCCAACGTCCATTTCGTGCGAAAGGGTTGCGATGGACTAACTAAACTCGCAATTTTACCACAGTTTTTGACGTCCAACGTCCATTTCGTGCGAGAGGGTTGCGATGGACTAACTAAACTCGCACTTTTACCTCAGTTTTTGACGTCCAACGTCCATTTCGTGCGAAAGGGTTGCAATGGACTAACTAAACTCGCAATTTTACCATAGCTTTTGAAGTCCAGCGTCCATTTCGTGCGAAAGGGTTGCGATGGACTAACTAAACTCGCACTTTTACCTCAGTTTTTGACGTCCAACGTCCATTTCGTGCGAAAGGGTTGCGTTTCGTGGCGCTCCGGCGACACCGCCCCGGCCTTAAGAGAGAGATAGAAAGAAGAGCGAGAGAAGATGTGAAGGTGTGAAGATGTAGATCTGCAGATGTCAGGGTGTGAAGATGTATGTGAAGATGTAGATCTGCAGGTGTGCAGGTGTGAAGATGTAGATCTGCAGATGTCAGGGTGTGAAGATGTAGATCTGCAGATGTGACGGTGTGAAGATGTAGATCTGCAGATGTCAGGGTGTGAAGATGTAGATCGGCAGATGTGAAGGTGTGAAGATGTAGATCTGCAGATGTCAGGGTGTGAAGATGTAGATCTGCAGATGTGAAGGTTTGAAGATGTAGATCTGCAGGTGTGAGGGTGTGAAGATGTAGATCTGCAGATGTGAAGGTGTGAAGATCTAGATCTGCAGATGTGAGGGTGTGAAGATCTAGATCTGCAGGTGTGAGGGTGTGAAGATCTAGATCTGCAGGTGTGAAGGTATGAAGATCTGCAGATGTGAGGGTGTGAAGATGTAGATCTGCAGATGTGAGGGTGTGAAGATGTAGATCAGCAGATGCGAAGGTGTGAAGATGTAGATCTGCAGGTGTGAAGGTGTGAAGATGTAGATCTGCAGGTGTGAAGGTGTGAAGATGTAGATCAGCAGGTGTGAGGGTGTGAAGATGTAGATCAGCAGATGTGAGGGTGTGAAGATGTAGATCAGCAGATGTGAGGGTGTGAAGATGTAGATCAGCAGATGTGAAGGTGTGAAGATGTAGATCAGCAGATGTGAGGGTGTGAAGATGTAGTATAACTATAACGGCTGCTTTTTTACGAAGAACCCTTCGCAGGCGCTCTCGGGAAAAAGCCTCGATCACCGCAGCCACGACCAGCAAAAGAAAGCAGAGAAAGGGAGCCCACAGCCACAGATTAATGGCAGGCCCGTCACGGCTGCAAGCCTGCCGGCTGCGTGCGCTGCACCGTGTGCTGCACCGCTGGCAGGAGGTAAGGGCGCGGAGAACTTTGAGACTGACATTCTCAAAGTCCCGCACCTCGCAGTTGTTGGCGGAGCAATATGTATCAAGCATGCTATCTGTCTGTCTATCTATCCGTCGATCTATCTATCTATCTATCTATCTATCTATTTGTCAAGCTGTCGATCTATCGATCTATCTATTGACGTAATCTGAAAGGAAGCAATGATGATATCCTGGAAAAAATTGATGTTCACAGCTCCAAAGCGAGGAAATTCTGCGAGACTTCCTCAATGTTGAAACTTGGCAACATCAAAAACGAAGCAAGTCTATGAGACTTCCGTCAAAAATGGCAAGCTGAGTGCAGACCTGACAGCCTCGTACCAATGCGTTTTGCGATTTGCTCACCCATCTGTCTAAAGTACTGTGCCGACCACGCAAAAGTGAGGCCAGGTCACAGGAAGTGCTGCACCTGTCAGGCAAAATCATCTTAGCAAACCTGAAGATCTGATGCTCCAAAAAGCAACCCCTCTCAAGAAATCAGCGTCTTGACCTTAACATGTCTGATGGAGATATCTCTTGTAAGTGTGCCGAGACGGTCAGTTTTTAACACTTTTGACTTCGAAATGTGCTTCGCGCCGCAGCGGCGTGCACTTTTTCGACATCTCAATGTCCAAAAGGGCTCCGAACCTGAGCCAGCATTTTGACTTCAAAATGTGCTTCGCACCCCAGCCGCACACAATTTTTTATCACTCATCCAATCAGATGGCTCCGCACCTCCCGCTCTTTAGCGACCCTACTTTTCGACCTGTCGGAGCCACAAAACCTGGGAGAAACACAGTGTTTCGCAACTTGTCTACCTTTTTGCGCTCGTTGATCTTCTTTCTACTGACTCTTTCTCTTCTCTGACTGCTCTCGCCACTGTTGCTGCATCTGTCCATAGGTCGGAAGTTTGATTTCTAAATTTCCTGCGATAAAGATAGGGTACAGTATATGCTTTTTGATTTAGATGCAAGCACAAAACCAACATGAGCAAAGTCCAATAACGCGAAACAGCCAGCTGCTGGTTCTTGATGTTCTTATCCGAATCCGCGGGCTCCGATCAACTGAACTCGCTTTCACCAGGTGGAGACATACCCAAGTTGCAGGCATATTCCATGCTGTGCAAAGTATTGCCTGGACATATTAGGGAGAATGCACTAATCCCACAGATGATTTGGAATATTGACAGAGGGTACTTACCATGTCCATGTCATGTGCAGTAATATTGGCCAGGACTTACACATGAAGCGAGTAGCTGAATCACGGCGAAGCTTTTACAGTGATTGGATACTTGGACCAGGATGAAAAGGTGCTGGGTGGGATGAACTAAAGCTGACTTTGGCTTCACCGCTATTTATATTATTCCTGCGCAAGCATCACCCCTGATCCCCGGAACTGGGGATACCAATCTGCTTCTCAAGTGGTGCTTTGCCCCGCTAGTTTTGACCAGGTCATGTTGCCAGAAGATTGTGAGATCAACCGTTCAAAGCCTCAACTTGGAGTTGATTTTGACAGTTCTGGTGAAAATTGTTCAGCCTCCATGAAAGTATCGGTGTATCTTGCCCGAAAAGAAAACAATCATTTCCAGGTTCCCTGCCCGTTTTTGTTCGCTGTTGATATTTGTTGGCCAAACCAGGATGTACCACCAACCTTTGGTGCGTGCTGCTTGTGCTGTGGCTTTCAGCTTAGTTCGACTCTCTGGTCGATGCTTGGTTTGGAAGCCCCAGACGGATGGTTTATGTTCAGTAAATTTTATTCAGCCACTCTGGGTCGACCATGTTTCTACCACCGCAAAAATCATATATACCTAGATATACACATGTACGTGTATGCGAACTGTATGTGCATACATGCATTTGTTGTTACATAAATAGCATATGCATGCGTGCATGCATGCATACATACGTACATACATACGTACATATACATATACATACAACTATATACATACATATGGTTTGCATCCAGAATAAGCATAGTACAGACGCACTTCTACTTGTGACCTATATGTGTATGTACGTGTAAATGATTTTATGTGTAAATAGGTGTAAATACATGCTGGCTGCAACCCGAACGTGTACCCATTGTATCCCGGGACCTCACCCACTAACTTCCAGCCTGGGTGTTCAAAGGACCCTCAGATTTTTCCTCTAGAATAGTGGGTCGGGGCCGTTTTACGCGCAACGAACGTCTAGAGACGTTCTGAATAAAGGAGATGGTTTTATTTATTGTTTTTACGGTTTCAAATCCGTCTTTGGATTGGATGTGGTATATAACAATTTTAGGTCATTCTTTCTTGTTACTGATGGCACATCGCAGTGATTTGAATATCGGGCGCCCAAGTATTATTTCCAGAAAATGCACAATTGCCCTACTCCAGGTAGAAAATCTTTAGAAGATGCCCAGGTCACTTTCCATTTTTGCCTTTTATTCTCACTGTCCACTCTTGGAAAAACGTGTAGATTCTTTTACGACAGGAAACGTCTTCGACGGGCTGGACTGTTTTCAACGGAAATGGCTCCTTCGCAAGGCGGAGCCGGATGTTTTAACATCGGGAATTGCGAAATCTGTCGGCAATATATATGGGCTTTACCCGTCAGAAATCTTCCCAATCAACTTTCGCATGGGCGTATCATTATCCTAACAATTATGGAGATATACCTGAATACCCGTTTTCAAATGACTTTCATGGGCCAAGTTCGCCACCAATGTCTGTCAGGCATCCCTCACTTTCCTGCTGGAGGAGCAGTGCCTCGCAGGATGCGTCACATCATCGGTGTCATGTGAATGTTCCTTTTTTTTGGCACTATGATAACTGGTGTAAAACTGCATTTCATGATGTTTCAAATTTTCACTGATGCTTTGATATATGTGCGTGTGTGTGTGTGCGTATGTATCCAAAGCTGTTAGAATCCGTTCATTTTTCGGCACATTAACATTAACCCCTAAAGCTTGGCCATGTGTTGTAAACCTTACTCAGGCGACAGATTTTATAGTCGAATGCTTCTTGAGACCAGGAGATCTGTTGTCAAACCTCTGCTGAACAAACAGCCCATGAGCCTTCTTGGAGTCGATGGATCAGTCCCCGATGTTTTAGCCGTCAAGAATGTACCGTCCTAGTGACTGACTACTCATGTGACCAACCTGCGAACACCCCCAGATCCTGGAAGCCAACAACTCGACCCTTAGGAGAAACAGATGCGGGTGAAACCGGTGAAACCTCAGCTTTTATTGGATTTCCTTCTTGCGAACCCAGCTAGCTAGGACTACACGCTTCAGGTCGGCACAGTTTATCGCTACCTCGATGATGTGGGGCCTGGAGTGAGGTGATGCGCCGCGGGAGCAAGGGGGGCGGTTGGGTGGTTGGGTGTTTGGGCGGCTGGCGAAATTTGATGCATATACTTGAAGAGTTTTATATGTGAATCAAGCCGAAAACAACAGTTTTGTGGAAATGATTGTTTGTGGCTGACCATGTAACTAGATATTTATCAAAGATTGCGAACTTTTTGCCGACGCTTGATGCAGGATGGTCACCATTGTAGACTGTAAAGGCATTGCGATATTTGGCTTTGACCAAGTTTTTTTTTCATCTTTCGGCTTTCCAACAAAACCGCAACATATTCACGCCTCAGCAACTTGGAAGGTGAAAGGCTTCTCTCATGGCCTGACCTGTACATATTTACAACGGGATCCCAAAGATTGGATCTGGGCAGGATTGCTTGACAAAAAAACCGTTTCCGTGACTTTGCATGAGCAGTGGCCAGCTCATTCCCCTAGTGGTTTCGGGACCTTGGACCAAAAAAAGACACACCAATGAACCATACATTGTTTGTGAAACCCGAAGTATTCTGTCTTCAAGAAGTTTCCATGGTCAACACACGTCCAAGCTTTGCTCAAGTCTTCGTGTTTTTTTTAGCCATGAGACCATTCCGCTGCTCAAAGTTGTTTGGGTAAAGCATTCCTCCAATCATTTTGAACTGACCAGAACATGTGAATCACACACTGTCATGATAAGGCACGGTCAGCTTCAGATCAGCTTCAAAGAGTATTGAGGAGAAATTCAAGCCTAGATACATCTGGCCGGAGCCGGGTGCAAGCTCCAAACCATGCCGGTTGCACCGGAGATGCATCTGTTGAGGACGCCCGGGATATGAAATTCTAAGACAAGGGCTGCAACATTTCTGGCCAATAGCCTTTGTCTCGGGGTAAGTTCTTGACAGGCCGGTATCGACTCAGAGGTTTCCATAGCTCGTAGATGTTGCGACATCTCTAGCACTTGAATTCGACAACAAATGTTGTGTGTGACAAAGTTGTGTGTGAGAGAGTTATGTTTGAAAAAGTTGAATGTGAAAGAGTTGTGTGTGTGTGTGTGCGTGCGTGACAAAGTTGTGCGTGAGAAAGTTATGTTTGAAAAAGTTGTGTGTGACAGACTTGTCTGTGAAAGAGTTGGGTGTGACAAAGTTGTGTGTGAAAGAGCTGCGCGCGAAAGAGTTGTGTGTGACAAAGTTGCGTGTGACAAAGTTATGTTTGAAAATGTTGTGTGTGAAAGAGTTGTGTGTGACATATTTGCGTCTGAGAAAGTTATGTTCGAAATGTTGTGTGTGAGAAAGTTATGGTTGAAAAGTTGTGTGTGACAAAGTTGTGTGTGACAAAGCAATATGAGAAAGAAATGATTGAAAAAGTTCTTTGTGAAAGAGGTGTGTGAATTGGTTGTGTGTGTGAGACAGTTGTGTGTGAAAGAGCTGTGAGTGACAAAGTTATGTTTGAAAGAGTTGTGTGTGACAATGTTGTTATGTGTGAAAAAGTTGCGTCTGAAGAAATTGTGTGTGAGAAAGTCGTGTGTGACAAGGTTGTGTGTGAAAGAGTTGTGTGTGACAAAGTTGTGTGTGTGAGAAAGTTATGTTTGCGAAAGCTAGCTGCGTGTGAAAGAGCTGCGCGTGACAAAGTTATGATTGAAAGGTTGTGCGTGAGAAAATTGTGTCTGAAAGAGTTGTGTGTGACAAAGTGTCTGAAAGAGTTATGTGTGAGAAAGTTATGTTTGAAAAAGCTGCATATGAAAGAGTTATGTATAATAAATAAATTATGGAAAAAATTAGTTGAAAAATATATAAATCCGAAATAAATAATATTTATTTTTTTTTAATAATGAAAATATAATTTAAAATAAAAATAATAATAATTAAATGATAGATGGCCCGAGAGCGTAGAAGAGCAAACAGAGGCTT